ATCCTTTCGTTATGGCTTTTCAATTAATTGTTGACTGGGAAATTTGACTGAGCGTATAGCTGAGGAACAAAAGGGACGGGCAAATATCAAGAAATGCAAGGATATGCTATTGAATGACGAGCCTCCAGCAGGCCCGTCTTTGAGGGCACGGTTTTGAGTGTATAGCTAAGTAACCCGCAAACTATGCTTCGCGAAATTGTGTGCCTCCATATCATGAAGCGTAGAGACTGAGGGTATGTGGATGCTTTGTTGGAAAACGGCGAAATGGAGGAATTCACTGGCGCCTGTAGCCATAACCGGCGGTTGTTGCGGAGAGAGGACGGAAAGTGGCGCATGGACATTATCTTTCAACAAGGAAATTGTTGAGCAGACGTTTCTGATGCCTCATGTTGGCGAGCTACTCAGCAGGTTACACAGGCTGCCAGACTACTCAGCCTCTGACTTTACAGATGCCTTTTCACTAAGCTTGACTTACCCAGATGACCGGGAAAAAACGACATTCCACAGGCCCACTCGCAAGCATGAGAACACCTGAATGTCATTTGTATGTGACAGTGCTACATACAGATTCCAAGAAAAATCTTTATCGAGGTTTCTGAAGAGCCTGTCAAGGAGGGGCGGCTGGCTGTCTACATGGACGTCTTGGTCTTCAGCTGAAGCGTTCAAAGCGCCTAGAGTGCACAAGGCCTGCGCTTCTGCTGCTAGTGTCTGAAAGCATGCAGCTATCAAGTTAAACGCGATTAATTGTGTTTCTATGACTATGACCTTCGGTTGCAAGAATTGAGCCGGACACAGCAAAATCCGACAAGCCAATGAAAATATAGCCTATACCTTCACCCACCGGCGAGAACTTTGGCAAGTCTTTATGTGCTTGAGCTGAAGTACTGAAGGCTTATTTCTGGAAGTGCAGAGAAAGCTATTTGTTTGACTGCTCCATTTACCAAAAGCAATCAATGACCTGGACAGAGAAAGCTGATGGAGCAGCAAGGACGATTCTCGGCCCCCTTAGCGCTCCTTTGGCAATTGTGCTGCCCCTTTCAAGCGTTGTTTCGTCCTTCTGAACGATGCTACTAATGTAGCGGTGGGTACTGTTATCTGCCAACACACTACGGTTTCTCCAAGACACTAACTATTGCTCGCTATTCTCATTGCTTCAGCAAAGCAGAGTGGCCGTATCTGCTGCACGAAAAGGAACTCCTTAGAGTGTGGAAAAGCATTGAAAAGTGCTGGTACCATATATTTGGGCGTCATTCTACTTTTCGGACCGAAATCCACCATCAGTCTTTACCGAATTCAATACAGAGTCTCGAGAATTTTGGCAGTCGGCGAGTTATTCGTTGCCTTGGACGTCTCCTGCGATACGACGGACAGTGAAGTGTATAATAAACATCATCAACATGGTCGCCAACGTGTTCTCCCGACTCCCCAGCGATTCACCACTCTGCAGCGCAGCCGCTCTGTTCTTTGGTAAATCATGGTTTCTCTTTAAACTATGTGAGCCTCATGCTTTTGACACCTGTGCATCTGCTACTGCTTCCGAAATTCAGAAGAGCAAAGGGTTAACTATTAGTAGTATGAGGATGACGTGTTGTGGCTCAAAACAAAACAGGAACTCCTCTGCTTGCGCATTCCGACATTTTTCTGCAGTGTCGTGCTGTGCAAAGTACATGATAGTGTACTTTTGGGCCACGAAAGGACTTATATCAAAGAGCGAAGTGTCACGCGGTCTTTCTGGGAGCCTGGTATGTGTCATGCGCAAAGAACGTTTTGTGCAGGTGCATTCAAATTTGTGGTCTCAGGTCGTTTATGCTTCTGTTAATGTTTTAGGATTAAATATGATGCACACCCCAGTTATATTTGCATTCGGTGCTTTATGGTTGAGGGCATACTGCAAATGGAAAGTAGCATTTACTTTTTTCAAGCGCTCTCTGACACACTAGCCTCCACAGCCATCAGCTGTGCCCACATGTGCAACTTCCATTGGGGCATCCATTGTACTCCTAAGATTGTGGCATAATCTACGGGTGCTACGTAGAAGGTGCGGATTATGCTGATTTGACCTGAGTTGAACTTGACGCGGCATTGAGCTGCCCTAGCCTTGCCATTTCTTGCGTTCTGCGGCCCATCAGCAAACGTGAGTCTGATGGACTCTGCTAACAAGTGAACACGCAGATTACACTTCTACACAGTCTCTGCGGATGAGAGATACACTTCACATCGACTATCCATAGACGATGGCACCTCTTGGTCATTTATGCGACCTTATATCAATGCAGAATCGCCCCGCGGTGCGTTTGCACCACACTGTGTAGCCTTCTCCCTTCCGCCGCAGCCTATGTAACTCCTCTCCCTGACATTTCTTCTTTGCCCGCAACGCAGAATGTTCCCGCTGACCCCAATCCTGTTTCTCAGCCTCTACCGCTTCCAGTTTCTCAGTAGATCAACATCTTGAGAAATTCGCATGCTACCGCTTTCTCGATCCTTCTAGAGTTGGCTGTTGAGCTACTGTCAGGTGTACCGATGAGCCGTGGCTTTTATGAAGGCTTCAATAGTAATTTCTGCAAGCGAGCGTTCCCTCTGCATGAATAGGGCCACAGTTACATTAAAGTGCTCCTCGCTTCACTAAACACGCTACAAGAAAACTAGTTCCTCTGCTGTTGTGGAGTGGACAGTAATAATATTTAAACCGACATGGATTCTTCGAGCATTTGCCCATCCTAATGTTTGTCACATTTCAATAGTCGGCATAGCGACATCAACGCATGCATGAGCATGTTATCTGCTGACAAAGCATGCAGTTCTACGAGCTCTGAAACTACTGTCAGGGCCCTGGGGATCAAACCTTGGATCTTCCGAGTGTGATGCGAACGTTAGAGCCACCAAACCCACACAGTTCCACCCTCTAAACAGTCCGTGCATGTACAGCTAATTGCACATAGCATCTAGCACAAACGCACATAAAATCGAGTCTTGTGGTACTGGAAGGTACCTCTGCAGTAAGGTACACAAACGTCCTAGCCAAATATTCATTTCTTTGCTGATTGTCCGTTCGATAGTGTTAGAGACAATGTGTTTGGTGGAGCTGGGCCCGCTACATACACAACACAGACAATCGTAGCGGATTTTTACAAGGCCCATCAGGAATGAAATACACTAGCACTCGAGGCGCATTGCCGGAAAGAATGAAGGTAGCACAAGAGTAACTAGACGGCTGAGAAACGTAAAACCTACGCATACCCACGACGCTCCCTGAAAGGTTGATCATACAAGTTTTCCATGTGATCCTTGATGCACACTGAGCATCTACATCTGCATTGAAAGCTGTGGGAAGGGAAAAGCCAAAGCTTGGGTAGGGCGTTACGGATAGGGGCTACGTGCTAGCGAATGCGTTGTTCTTGAACCGCGTAGGCGGCGACCCCTGTCCGTAGCCGTGTGTCCACAAATTCTCATAGCAGGATGATAGCTATGTGGATGCAACGAGGAACCGACATATTTTCAAGAAGCAGAAGGAAGCACGCGAGATAAGAAAGTGGGAAACACCAGTAAAAGATCAGCGCTGCTTCGTGCACGCAGCTATAGGGCAGTCAACTGCCTGGCATGGCTTGGGTACTGGCAGCGACGAGGCCATGTATAAGAAGCAGCCAAAGACATTACTGTCCCTCACAAGAAGACACGACAAACTGCAAAGGGCCATCAGAGATCGTCGGGCAACCGGGGGCCCTGACCTGCCGAAGTGCAGGCGTGGCTTTCCAGCCCCGGGAACGCAGCAGCGCAAGCTAGAGCTAAGGCAAAATGGCCAATCCTACTTGTAGTTTCCAAATCGCTCCCGTTTTGGGATATCTGTGTGTGTGCTGTTTAACCTACAAAGATCTTCAGCTTCCACTGTTTGTGTCTCATTGTTACAGCTGCAGCAGAAGCTGCCACGCTCTCCCCAATGTCATCCGACCTCCTTGAACTGCGCGGTGTCTTCGTATGACTCCCTGCGTCAGCCAAGAGCGTGCCTCATTTGTGCCCTTTCCTGAGCGGCAGCAGCAAGGGCAGCGGCTTATCGCGGCGGAGCGCTTAGCGTCCCGACCAAAGTGGATACAGAAGCCCGGCCGCTGCGTCAGCAGCAGCAGCCAGGAGCAGATAAGTCTTTCTTAAGATGCTTGGTTCCTTGCTCGCACCAGGGCACGCGTGCAGCAGTAGGGGCCCCCTAAAGCACCCCGGGGCCCCTCCAGACGATGCTCACAGGCTTCGACCACACCGACAGCGATGGGGGCCCCTGCTGTTCGCCCTCTTGTGATGGGGGGCCCGCTCAAGAGAAGGAGGGCCTGCGGGACTTTCTGTGGCCGGATGAAGGAGGGGCCCCCCAGAGCGCCTCAAAGAGCTCCCCGGGCGCACCTGCAGATAGCGGTATCTCTGCATTCAGTGGTGGGATGTCTGAGAGACGGTTGGAAGGCGGCCTTTCTCAAGGAAAAGGCTCCCCTACGTGGCAGCAGCTTGTGGCGTGGCATCGTGTCATGACCCAGCAAATGGCGGAGGGGCCTCCCATATGGGAAGGCCCTGCGAGTTCCCGCTCTTTGGGGGCCCCCTTGGCGGTGTCGGACTCCGCCGTTTTCTCGTCTCCTACGAGCAGCCTGGCGGGCGATGAGCCAACGAGCCAGGGGCCTCCCGATCCGCAGCAGCGGGCCTTAGGATTTGATGCCGCGCTGGCCGCTAAGAAGGGCACCTCCCCGCTGATTCGCAGAGAGACCCTTCTCGGCTTTGGTGAGGGGCCCCTTACCCACGAGATCAGCATTAACCCCCTTGTATCCAATGCTCCTAATGCGTGTACTCTAGTGTCACCTGGAACGTGGCCATCTCCAACGGGAGCCTTGCGCGGCAGACTCCCCCCCGGGCACCCCATGGGGGAGGCCCCTTGTGGGGGGGGGCCCTCCGAACTAGGACCCTTCTTGCTGCAACAGGGAGATCTGCTCCCTTCCAACAGCCTTGACAGCAGTAGTGAGTTTGCAGGCGGCGTCGAATTGAGACGAGTGCGTACAGTAGGAGGGGCCCCCCCCCAGCAGCCAGCGGTCTCATCCAAAAAGAAGTGGCGCCAAGCCGTGCGCTCTGCCAGCGGGAGTAGCGGCTTGCTGCAGCCACCAGACGACCGTCGGCCACGAGCGAGGGCAGTTTGCAACCATGGCGATCAGAGTGCCGCTGCTGCTGCTGCTGCTGCTGTCGAAAATAGTTCCGGATCGCCTACCCGTTGCAGCAGCAGCAACAACAGCATGCAACAACCGCTGCCCCAGCAGGAATACGCGTCGACTATTGGAAGACTCAGGCGCTTGTGGCACTTTTTTTCTGGGGGAGGGGCCCAGCAGCAGCAACAACACCAGGGCCAATCAGAGCAACGGCGGCAAGAGGCGGCGATGCAGCAGCATGGCATGCTGCAGCGCATGGCTCATAGTTACCCAAATCATCGATGCACCACTGGAATATCCATGGCGCCCTCTGAAGGGCCTCCTTCATGGAATCTTTTTCGTGGCCATTCCCTCCCGGCTGCTACGGGCGAACAGCAGCAGCAGCATCAGCAGCATCAGCAGCAGCAGCGATCGAGGCGCTCTATGATCGCCCCTGCAATGCTGCGGCCTCCGATTGCTTGCAGAGAGAAACGCCATCAACAAGACAGGGAGCATCCGCAGCGTCAGAGGCAACTTCGCCAGGAGAAGATAGCTGAGTTTTTCTCACCGAGGCCGAATATCGACAACGACCTCAGCCCAGGAGAGCATGCAGATGGTGCTGCAGCAGGAAGACATGCAGGGTGGCGAGCTATGTCTCCTGCCTCTTCCGCTTTATCTGCGGCCGACAGTGGGGGCCTCCTAGATAGGGGCCCCCCGGGAGACCACGAATTTCTGTCTCCTCTGACGTGCAGTCCCCTTGGGCTCAGTCCCAAAGCAGTCAAAACAGTGGCGGTGCACGAGCTGTGGCCCTTGCAGCAGCAGATGCAGCAGGCAGTGCAGCAGGATGCAGCGCTGACTCCCGAGGGGCCCCCCTGTGACCTCGCGGATGCTGTTGCTGCACTTACTGCTGCAGCAGAACTCACGGCAGGAAGCGCTCGTGGGCCGCCGGTGCTGTCTTTGCCCGGAAGAGCAGCAGCAGCAGCAGCACAAGAGGCGGCAGCAGGTAGATCTCCCAGCAGCAATGCCGCAGTTGCTCTGCTTCTGGAGGAAGCAGCAAGGTCGCTGCAGGAGGCCCTTGTGCGAGTACAGTGCCAGAAACAGAGACTGCAACGGCAGCAGCAGCAGCAACAACAGCGACCGCAGACGCTGCCTTCTGTTGAGCAGCAGCAGCAACAACAGCAACCGCAGACGCTGCCTTCTGTTGAGCAGCAGCAACAACAACAGCAACTGCAGACGCTGCCTTCTGTTGAGCAGCAGCAGCAACAACAGCAACCGCAGACGCTGCCTTCTGTTGAGCAGCAGCAGCAACAACAGCAACCGCAGACGCTGCCTTCTGTTGAGCAGCAGCAACAACAACAGCAACTGCAGACGCTGCCTTCTGTTGAGCAGCAGCAACTCCGTGAGGGGCTGCCAGACCAACAGCAGCTGCAGCAGTTGAAGGCGGAGCAGCAGAGACAGCCAGGGAGTCCTCATCACGAGCAGCAAATCCAAGGAATGGCATCGCTTTTGCTGGGACTAGAGGAGCCACCAAGGCATCCGCACGAGCCTCTTGCAGAAGCTCTACAGCTGGGCAAGCAGCATCAGTCGCAGCAGCAGCTCAAGATGCTTGAGCAGGATCAGACACAGAAGCATAAGCAATTACCGCAACAGCAGCTCCAGGATGCAGAGCCACTAGAGGAGCAGCACGAGCAGCTCCAAAAAAGGCGGAAGGGCAAGAAGAAGAGGCAGCAGAAGGAGCAAGAAACGCGGGACCTTCAGCTACAGTCAAATCAGCTCTCAAAGCAGTTGCAGCAAGGGGAGGCTCCTGGAAAACACGAGATATCGCAGGCGTCTCAAGAGCAGCCACCCTGCGAACAGGAAGGCAAAGAGCAGCTCCAAGGAGAGCAGCAAAACATACAGGAACAGCAAAGTGGAGACTTTGTACAGCTGCAGCAGCAAAGCGAACGCCCGAGTTTTTTGGCGTCTGCTCAGCAGCGAGAAGCAGCTGCGCTTGAGCCACAGCAGCTAGAGCAGAAGCAGCAGCTAGAGCAGAAGCAGCAGCTAGAGCTGAAGCAGCAGCTAGAGCAGAAGCAGCAGCTAGAGCTGAAGCAGCAGCTAGAGCTGAAGCAGCAGCTAGAGCAGAAGCAGCAGCTAGAGCAGAAGCAGCAGCTAGAGCAGAAGCAGCAGCAAGAGCAGAATCAGCAGCAAGAGCAGAAGCAGCAGCAAGAGCAGAATCAGCAGCAAGAGCTGAAGCAGGAGCTAGAGCAGAATCAGCAGCAAGAGCAGAATCAGCAGCTAGAGCTGAAGCAGCAGCTAGAGCAGAAGCAGCAGCTAGAGCAGAATCAGCAGCAAGAGCAAAAGGTTGTAGAGGTTCTTGAGCAGCACGATGCAGTAGAGCGGCGGGAAGCCCATCGGGAGCCTTCTGAGCAGCAGCAACAACAGCAGCCGCAGCAGCTGCAACTGCATGCAGAGTGGAAAGAAGCGCGGCATCCTCAACAGCCGCACGAGTCAACGCAAGCTGTGAAAGCGGGCCGCAGGAAACAGAAGCAGAACGACGGACTGCCTCAGGTGAAGGCACCGCTCCAGCAACTGTGGGCTGCGAAACAAGCGTCTTCCCAGAACGAGGAGCAAGAAAAGGAAAGCCTCGCCACGCATGTGCCGTTCGTGGCTGCAGAGGTAGATCTGCTGGGGGCCTCTTCAAGGAATGCTGCAGCAGCATCAACAGCAGTTCCGCCTTACCGCAGGTCATGGTCTCTTCCAGCCCTGCAAGTTTCGGATTCTGTGCCCCTCTTTGTGCTGCTGCCTCCGACGCTGCAGCAGCAGCACCAACGCCACCAGTTACGAATCCTAAGGGACTTGCCTCCTCAGACTCTGGGAACGCAGCAGCGATCCCAGGGCGTGCAGCCACTCCTGCAGGGTGCAGGCGCAGGACGTTCCCCCCCCCCGGCAAAAGAAGCAACTGCAGTTGACGCTGCTGTTTCAAGTGCACGGGAGCAGCGGGGGACGCAGCAGCAGCATTTACAACTGCAACTGCAGCAAGAGACGGACTCTCTCCCGCCGCCTGCATGCAGCGAGCCAGCGAACAGCGGCGCCGATACCCGCAGCGGCCCCCAGGAAGATCTCCCGTCGGAAGCGTCAGCAGTCGCTCAGGGGCAACTTGCGCCAACAGGGGTGGCAGAGGCAGCACCGGCCACAGCAACGCCAGCACTAGCAACAGGAGCAACAATGTCGACACCGAGTGCATCGGGAACAGCAGGAGCACCCGCAGCGGGTCGCATTTGCTGCGCTACACCTTCTCCTGCTGTGCACAAGAGAGAATGCGGCACGCAAACTGAGCCCGAGATTTGTGGACTCCCGCCTCCACCCCCGGGTGACCTGCCGCAGAATCTCCGAGAAACTCGCACTCTTCCCAAGGGGGCCCCTCTGCCTCCATCCCCCGGATCAGCCACTGCTGCAGACACCCCAGGAGTTGGCCTTCAGCTACTTGGAAAGGAGCCTCCTGGACGTTCGCCGGGGTCAGAGGCAGCTGGGGGGCCCTCCAAGGCGCCACTTCCGGGGGCCTGTGCTGGGACTGTTGCCTCATCGACGGCAGTCCCTAAGGGCAAGGCCCCAGGGCTGCCTCCTGGCTACGCAAGGGCAGGGGCCCCCCCTGGTGCAGGCAAGGCACCGGGGCCCCCCCCTGGAGCAGGCAAGGCACCGGGGCCCCCTCCTGGAGCAGGCAAGGCACCGGGGCCCCCTCCTGGAGCAGGCAAGGCACCGGGGCCCCCCCCTGGAGCAGGCAAGGCACCAGGGCTTCCTCCAGGACGGGGCAAGGCCCCCCCCCCACCTGGGGGTAAGGGGCCTCCTCCCCGGGGGCCCCCTCCACCAGGGAAGAAAGGCGGTGAGGAGACCCGTATTCGATTTGTAGTTGTTTCTTCCCCTGGCTGTGTCGTGGGGGCCCTGCATTGCGTCCGTTGAGAATCGCCCTCGGAGCTGTCTGCTCCATGGATTATTTTTCGCTCTTTCCTGGTATTGGCATGCGGGGGTTTTGCCTCGTTTTTGCATATAAGGGGCTCTGTGTTAGCCCAGCTGTGTGCCTTCAGTGGCTTAAAAGCCATGGATGTCACTGCTGCTGCGGGAGGCTGCTGCGTCACAGGGCCCTTGGCCAAGTCTCGCCTGGGTGCAAAAGCAACCGGTCCGGTGTATGTCCTTCCTGAAGAGCATCTGCCAATTCCCCCAGAGGGCCTCACAGCAGTAACAAGGCTCCAATGGACGCTGCTCAAAAGTGAACAGGTATGGTGGTGACTCAGGGGGTTCTTGGAGTGAGGGAAATCTTGGAAAAGGAGGCACCCAATGCACTGCAGGGAGGGAAGAGTGGCCCTGCCCTCTCTGGCTGCTGCTTTTGTCCCACCTGCTGAGGGGTTCTTTGCTTTGACTGCATTACGCATTCGCACTCTCTGCAGAGGCGTTTCAATGTGTCTGGCGAATGACCGGGGTTCTCTCTAGCTGGCATATTCGGGGGCTAGTGGCGTGGACTATCCCGCCTGTTTTTTCACCCATACCAGCAGTTGCCGGCCGGTCGAGATTTGTCTGTAAAGCTCCTCCTCACTGTGTCTTTCTCTGCTTGTACATTGCATGCGTAGCTTGATGGGAGCGCTATTCGCTGGTGCCGCTGTGCATCTCCTTTTGGGCAGTTGTAATTGGTATATGTATATGAGTATGTTTGTGTGTGTGTGTATGAATGTATATACATGTATGCGTGTGTACGTATGCGTGTGTGTATGTGTGTACAAATAGCTGACGGGGACCTTATTTGATGGTCTGCTGGATCGATACGACAGCAAAAACCTAGGTGCCTCTTCAGGAAGTGGCAATTTTGAAGGCGTGCCTTTAACAAGAAGATCTATGAGTTTGGACAGCCCAACTTCAGCGGTTCCTTGCAGTGAGCCTCCCACCCCGGGTGGCCCTGGAGGCAGTGGACTTTCTGTAGGCTGCTTGTCTCCTCCGTGCATAGACTCTCTCGGTCCTCACAGGCACGGGAGTATAACCCCAACAGAGACTACCGCGGAGGGTGGCTCAGCGGAAGCAGCAGCTGCTGCCGCTGCTGCAGGAGTGGCAGCCGCCGCTGCTGCTGCTGCAAAGGAGGGAGGTGAGATCCAGGGGTCTCTAGGCCCCCGTGCCTTCCCATCGATGCGATTGGCCGTGGATAGGCAGCCAACGAATCCAGGCCTCATGCGCCGTGCAACCTTCCATTACAATGTGGACTACGGGAGAGTTTTCTCCCTTTTCTACAAGGAGGTGGAGAGCCAGCAGGAAGGCGCGAAGAAGGCCCTTGAAGACGGGGGAGGCCCTGGGGGATCCTCTGGAAAGACGAAGAAAGGCGTCCTGGATGCAAAGTCCAGCCAAAATGTGGAGATCTGTTTGAAGAAATACAAAATGACGACAGAGGCGGACTTCAGGAAGCTCGCCAGTCAGTTTCAAGATCCCGAGCAGTTATCGATTGATACGACCCTGGTGCAGAACCTCGTGCAGTACTGGCCAGAGGCAGATGCCGTGGAAGCTTTCAAAGCCAAGACTCAGGAAGAGGCCCTTCAGATGCCTACCGCAGATAAACTTTTCTTCTTCCTCATCAAGGATGTGCCTCTGTGCTGCGATCGACTCAAGTTTTACCTCGAGTACGTCTGCCCTTATATGTACTTCTTAAGAAGCCAGCTAGCGTTGCATCCCTTCAGAGAGCCATCTATCAGACTGCGATGTGGGGGCCGCTAGCAACAAAAACTGGATGCCACGCACACAGGGGCTGGAGGCTGGATGAAAGAGGCCCTGCCCCAGGAATTAAGAACGCCTATTGTGTTGCACTTATTTTTGTTTGTTGCGGTTTCGTCTTCTATGCGCATTAATTCTTTCGCGCACCCTTTTGTTGTCTGCTGATCTTGCGCCGCGGCAGCCGCCACGCCGTGGAGGACGAGCTGCAAGCGAAGGCTTCCAAGCTAGAGAAGTACGTATCCGCTGTATGTACGCTGGACATGGTGCTGACGAGCGACTGGTTCAAAGACATCCTGCATGTGGTTTTGAGGCTCGGCAACTGTGTCAATCGAGGAAAAAAAGAAGCTCTTGGATTCAAGCTAAAGGACTTTGTGGCACAGCTCAGTGCCTGCACCAGCAAAGACCGGTCCACCAACCTCTTCAAGTATTTACACACAGCGATATGCACCTTGTCACTTTGATAGATACGGAGATTATGTATAGACGTCTTGGTGCTTTTCCCCTTTTTTCCTAGCCATCCACTGAACAGTTTCATCATGCGCATATTCCCCTTATCCTTGTGACTCGCGTGTCTCGTTGTCCGTTTGCCATGTGCTCTGTCTCTCTCTTTCTCTCTGTGGCTTCCTCTATCTCCCTCTCTCCCCTCCTCTTCCTCATATGCCCTCTTTCCGACTTGTCTCTGTGCATGGCGGCTTCTCGTACAGGTGCCTGTCTCCTACGCCTCTCTATCCTAAGCTACCCTGCACCGTTCTCGCCTCACAGTCAACTGGTCTACCCTGAATCGACGCAAAGCTGTCAGTATGGCTAGAGGGAAAGAGGGAGGCAGCCTCCTGTTTAGGCACATGGCGTGTGGTGCCACTGCTTGTGTCGCAGGCTCTTAGTTGAGACCGTTTGCCAGCAGAACGAGGCTGTGTGCGATGAGCTCAGGGCTCTGCAGATAGTAGATGCCGCTAAGGGAGTACGTTTGTTGGTTTTTGCCCACCTGTTTATTATTTGCTGCCTTCTCTTCCAGTCTTTCCCTCTTCTTCTCCGTTAGCCGTGTAAGTTGCCCTGGTTTCCATCTAGACGCTCTTTGTGACGGTATTTCTATGTGGAATTTTCATGTGAGTTGCTAGCCGAGACGCCTTCTCGCTTTGGCCACCATCCCCCGCTTTGTATGCCTGCCCTGCCCTGCCTAAGATGTGCTTTCCATGCATCGCTAATCTCGCCTTCAGCTGCGTGCTGCCTCTGCTCAGACGGACGTTGCTGAGTTGGTGAACTTGTCCTCCATAGAGTCGCGTCTCAGTTTCTGGTCGAAAATTATTGCCCAAAAGAAGGATCAGCTGGGGCCTGCAGCAGATTCCATGCATCGATGGGTGCAAGTAGGCATGCCAACCTCAGGGCTCCCGCAGCGGAGGCTGCTGCAGTTGCACGCGCTGCTGCGGTGCTTGCACCTGCCAGCCTGCACTAGCGCTGTTGCCTCCTTACTGACAAAGCAACGTCTGCTGTCGCTGCATGTGCTGGCGGCTGCTGCTTCCGCTACCGTCATTTGCGGCAGGCGCCAACTCTGCTACTGCTACGGCTGCTGCAGGCCAGCGAAAGCCGATTGCATGCACTCAAGGAAATGGTAGCGGATAACGAGAAGCGTCAAGAGGAGTTTCGTGTTTTTTTGGGCCTTTCAAAGCACGACTGCGTCTGGCCAGAGCCTCTCCGCTGGTTTGGTCATTTCTACTCTCAGTTTGATCAAGTTGCTCGAGATCTTCGGGATGCGAAGGTGCTGTTGATCCGCAGTCCTGTAGTGCTTCTGGCTCTTCTCTTGCTGAAGGCTGCTGCTGTGCGTGCTGCTGTCCTTGCTGTGCATGTTTCTGCCTTGTTGCGCGTGAGGCTCGGCTGGTCGTACTGCTCGCGAGGCTGGCGTGCGGTGGATTGGGGGCGTGCCGGAGAGAGCACCTGTTTGCCCCTGTTGTGCTGCTGTTGCTGCTGCTGCCGCTGCCGAGTAGCGTTTGGGTGACCTTTTTCCCGTGCTAAGCGGGCTCCTCTTCTGCTGTAGGCAGGAGGATATGCAGCCCTCGTGCCCAACGTACCCCAGTGATGACTCGGTAGGTATGTTTGCTGGTGAGCTTCCTGTAGAGGCGGCCAGCATCGTGGTTTGTGTTTTGGGGGGTTCTCTGCAATCAGGAGAAGGAGGCAGCAAGACGCGAAAGAGAAATGAAGAAGCAGCAGCAGATCTCCACGCCAACAACAGCATCGCGTTCGCTTACGGGTCTCAAGCAGGTGCCTTCTATGCGCTGGTCTTCAGAGGCGAACCTCTCAGCATCAGCCACTTTCGGCGGGCAGGGCGTAACCCCCAAAGCGACGCAGTCCCCCACTCCGCCTCCCGACTGCTCGACAACGAAACGCTCCTTAGGAGTGCCTGCTGCAGCACCTGCGGCAGCGATTGCCGGGGAGGCAGCTGCTGTAGAAAACAAGACCCCGCCTGCTCCGTGCGGCGAAGCCCTTGAGAAGCCTGCAGACGACCCCAAGAAAGTCTCTTCAGGGGGCGCTACCTCTCCGGAGCCGCCTCAGGGGCCTCCTACGTCGCTCCCTAAGACTTCGAGCTCCCCGCAGCTAGAAAAGAAAGAGGCATCCGCCGCAACGCAAGCAGCGCCGCGGGATGAAGAAGTCGACGAGGATGCTTCGCGTGATTCAAACGAACCGCGACAGCCACAACAACAGCAAGCAGCCACAATGGCGTGGCTTCTCGCGCGCACTCCTGGTCGGCGGCCTTCCGGGGCTGTGTCGCTGCAGCAGCAGCAGCGCCTGAATGCGGCGGCAGGTGCCACTGCTGCTGCAGATTCCGCGAATGCAGCGGCAGGGGCAGCTGGATCCACGGGAAGCAGGCAAGGGGATGCTTCTTTGCTAGCAGCCCCCCCACCTCGGCCAGCCGAGTCGGAAGAATCGGGGGATGCTTCTCCAAGGGGAAGCCCGGGAGTTGAGGGGAGGGCTCGACATCCGCTTTTCTTCGCGCCTGGCTCCTTCAGCAGCGGGAGCAGCGACGACTTCTCAATGGAAACGCTGCGCCACAGACTAAGCCAGCAGGAATTAGTGGAAATCAGTGCAGGAGCAACTGCAGCAGGGAAGGCGACAGAAGAAGGCGCGACGGAGGATAAGAAGGTGCCTGTGCAGCCTTCTTGCGCGAGAGGCACCGGCGTGCCTATTAGAGCAGCAGAAGCAGCAGCAGGTGACGCCATAGGGTGTCGTCCAGAGCGCCCCACTCTTCGGCGGTCCGAAGCCTTGCCTCTCATTTGCAGTGGTGGTAGCGAAGCCGAGAGCTCCTCGGGAGAAGGCGATCCCCGCAGCTGCTCCCGTGGCCAGTCTGCGGCCTTCGTTGCTGTTGGCACTGGAGCAGCGCCAGGAGCAGCAGCACCAGGGAAGCCTGAGGAGGGCGGCTCTCCTGTAGCCCTCAGTAGGGGTGGAAACTCTCGAGAACGTGGGCTTGGGGTGGCGGACTGCCGCTCACCAGACGCTGGACGGAGCCTTGCTGCAGTGGAAAGTGCATCTTCTTCAACAGCAAGAGGAGCAGAAGGAGCAGACTGTGGGAGCGCCACGCGGGGGCCTCCTGCTCCCCCTCGCGGTGCCCTTCGTGGCGGCGGCCCCCATGGGAAAGCTGTGGTGAAGCTGCGGGGTCGCGTGACGGGTGGCAGAGAAGACAGTAGTGAGCGAGAGCCAACGAATCCTTACATAGCAGATAACAGCTGGCTGCACGGGGGAAGCTCCCACCTAGGGGGGCCTCGCACGGAGAGGGGGGGGGGGCCTCAGGGGGCTGTCTCCCCCAGACGGTTGCTGCAACGGAAAGGTAGAACCGCTGCGAGCCCCCAAAATGACCTTCTGTTCGCTAGGGTTGTGGCGCAGCGGAGCCAGCAACAACAGCAACAGAGAGAGCAGCAGTATAAGCAGCAGCAGCAGATCGCGCCACATCCTGTCCAGAAGTAGGGCGGCAGGGTTTCCTCAGGACCCCCTTCGTTTTTAGAATGCGGCTCCTAAAATGGAGAGCCACTTAGTTTTGGCTAGTAGCTTTCAAACGCGGTGCAGCCTACTAGCTTACTAGCATCACTTTGGTCTCCAGTGATGCAGGGGCCCTCTCCGTGTGTAGCTGTGACGTCCTAGGGTGACTGCGCTATTAGCGAGTGACCGGCCGAACAGTGAGCTAGCGCACTACCCTACCAACCTGCTACCTCGCAAAGATGCCGGGTTGACAGTGGGGTAGCTGACGGCCTAGTGGCGTGGCTAGCCAGTTGGCCGGTGAGCTAGCTGAGAAAGCAGCTTATGGGTTATCATTAGGAAGGAAATACGCGGCACTGCGAGTCGCATTTTTTGTACCAGTGACATCCAAGGTCCTTTGACTCTTGGTGTAAGCTGTTCTCGTTCTACTGGCTGCAGGAATATAGGGGTATAAGATCGGGAATAAGCATAGAACACGTGAACTGGAGGCACGTTTCGAGGCTTAGTAGTAAAAGACCCAGAAAGATGGATTCTCTGGGCAAGCGCCTTATGCCGCAGCAGAGGACACCGCGAAGGTCGCCATGAGGGCGCCCATGCGTTGCCTTTAGCGTCATCCTAGGTCGGAGGTCGCCTGCTTACTGCATCGGTAATCGTTCCCGCTCTGCCACTTCACCATTTGCGGCAGCAGTCCAAAAGCAGGAGGCGCTGAAGCAGGGCATCGAGGTTGGTTAGTTGACAGGTTCTAGCTCGGCCGGCAAAGCAGCGGCTTTTCGCTTGAGAAGGGGGCAGTCAGTGTTGGGCACAGCCTGCAGCTCCCCATGGATTGAGCAGAGAACCCAGTCTAGGACCAGCGGCTCCACTCGCAGGAAGTGACTGCCTGATTCGAGCAAGGGCCGCACTCCAGAGGAGCCCCAAGAGTTTCCGGCCACCGATAGAGCCTCCAGGGTGCTGTGTACGCAGAAAAGAGAGCCACAGGAAGCATGTAAGGCAGCCACTGAGGGGCTAGGCAGACTTTGGCATAAAAAAGGTGGCGGGGGCTGACGGACGTTGTTTTCCGAGGAAGCAGTTTGCCAGAAGCAGCACACAGCGGGCAAGAGCAACGCGGATAGGAGCTATAGTAATAGAGCCAAATGTAAAGCTGCTAGAGAAGCACCGGCCGGCAGGGGGCGCCGTACAGCAGGCGGCAGAAAGCGAATAGCCTCCTAAGAATCAGTGCATCCGGCTGTGAGTGGCAACGAGGTGTGTACACAGATGCTGCATCTTTTGGTTCCCCTTTACAAAGCAGCACTGTATTATGCGGCTTTTGCAAGGAAAGCCTCTTTTCGCGCTCGGTACGAGCTGGAGCCGAGGCTCCTTGATGTGTTTAGAAGCGACTACAGGGCCCATCAGAAACACTTTTGCCACAGAGACGCCGCTAACCCTACTCTTTCGGCGGCTTCAGGGCATGTGGGCAGTAAAACACTTGCTTTGCGATATTTAGGTATGCAGCTTGCCAGCTAGCTATCTAAGCGCATAAGTGCTGGTGTAAGTACATTGGCAGCCGTATAGGCTTGTGCAGTTGTATCTGCACCACAAACCGTGTGCCTCGCCTGTAAGCAACAGAAACTGAGCCTGGGCTCTGCTTTTAATCTATTTCTTCTTTCTGCACATCCCCTTCCCTCAGTCGCCTCTTTCGCTACCGCCGTTTTTCTCGTCCCTTTCCGTCAGCCTGCACCCTTACCAGTTGAGGGTCAATGCGTCTGTCAGTTTCTCGAGACCCTTGGCGCATATGCCATTCGTTCTCAGCAGTAGGACTCGCAACGTTTCATTGCTCTCCAGTCCTGGACAAAGGCATTCGGCACCATAATCTCCCAGTCGGTTGCAGCACAGATCGAGAAACTCCAATGGAGTGCTGCAAGAGAGTACGCGCCCCAGGGCTGCCGCACCTCGCCATCTGAGCCGCCAAAGCATATTTCCAGATTTTCCTGCATTCTGTTGTTGTTTATGACGCTCTCGATGGTGCTCTGACTGTAGATTCTGCAAACTTTTATTTCTAAAACAAGTAGCCTGCGACGCTCCCCTCGGTTTTAGACGTTACCAGGTGTTAGAAAAAAAGGATTTAGGGGGTTAGGATTGAGGCACGATATTTGGTTGCAGGCAAGTCCCAGACTCTTAAGGGTTTTGTTCTGCTGCAAGAAGGGAGCTAATATCTCGACTCCGTCGTCTCGTAAAGACTGCTTAGCTAGCTCCAGTTGGCGCAGGTTGGTTGCCAGATTTATGACCCTAAAGAGATAAATACAGGATAAGTGGGGATTTGAGAACTAGATCATGAGGTTCTGCTCCAGGGCTTCGACTAAGCCTTTAGTAGTCTAGGTGTTGACAAACTGAGCATCAATAGAAGATGGAACAGAGCACCTGCAGAACATGATTGCAACAGAACCATGCACCACAGCAACAGATCAGCCCACTACACCAACAGGCCGCTACGAAGCGCAGCTAACAGTAAGAGCGCTACCCGGCGACATGATAAGAGTGCTGGCAGTTGAATGTGATTGCCGGATTTGCAAGATTCAAAATTTCCAGACTCTGAAGCAGACCACCAAAATACAGACCGTCAAAGCTCGAATTTGAAGCATGAATAGTTTGTCGTTTGTGGTTTTCAGTTTCACAAGTTGGCGTTACTGGGCCTGCTCGATGCATCAGCGCAGACCCTCCGTGAGCGTTGAATTCTGCCACCTTGCAATTGCATGAGGGAAGGCAGCGTAGCTTGAAGACAGCATTTTGTGGTCTGAAGCGCCTCACTCGGTTATCTGTTTGGACCGCAGTAGTTAGATGGACAAATGCCTCAAGGTGTAGCTGGCAGTCGCTGAGGTCAAGCGCCCGAAGGGACTTGAGGTTCCCGATAAGAACTGCTGCTGCTTTGCCTCCTTCCCTTCCAAGTGCATTTTGGCTTAAGTCCAGAAGGGACAAAGAGGGGCAATTGGCAAGGACATCGCAGAGTTTAGAAGCCCCCCTTTCACTGATGAGATTAGACTTGAGTCTGAGGGTTTCCAGTGATTGCGTTACGGAGAGAAAATCCAAGAATATCCGGCCTATTTCGTCCCCAAAACAGTGAAATGAGAGGTCTAAATGCCGTACTCTTGCACCTTTGTTCTTTAGGGACTGAAGCAACGCCAGCAAATCGTTGTCTCTCAGCCGGTGCAGGAATGTTTCTTTTTCACTGCCTATGCATGATAATGCAATGGCTTCTCCCCTTGCATGGGCATCCGAAGCATCGTCTAGCCTCTTTAACAACAACACATTTGGCTTTGCCCCTCGTCTCTCGCATTCTGCAAGGTACTCTAACGCTAGCTCGCCCGGCTCCCCCTTGTCCTTGGAGCCAGGGGGCTTCTTCTCCCCAGAGGTCATCTTAAGATATTTGTTTTAGCCACAGCAGCGCATCTGGTAGTAGAAGTCTGGATTCGGGGTTTTGGGATTTGGGGTTTGTTTAAGTGAAGGGAGAGTGCATGCAGAACCCTGCTCTCTTTTCTATTAAACAGTCACTCGCTGCAAGGGAAAACCTGCAGGGAAAGGAGGATGGTGTGAAAAAAGACACCTATCGTTGATCCCATATTTGTCTTCGTATTTTAATTTTTCTGTGGACGACTGGTGGCTTTGCGGGCCCCCCTTTTGGTGTCGTGCGTAGCGAGCGACGCCTTCGTGCAAAATCCGGGGCTTCGTTCTGTCGGTCCTTCTTGGACGTAATTTCGTGCATCCTTCTTTTTATGCATTGTGCCCTGCAAATAGCTTAGAATCATAATACAACCTATGCTAAAATCCTCGAATAGTGGCGTGCGTAGAGTCACCTGCTGCTCCCCACAGCCGACAGCCGCAAGACGCATCCTACCAACTCAAGGGCACTGTCTTCCAATCTTGAGTAACACCGATGCAAATACCCTAGAAGCTCAAACAGAGAGACATCTCATATTTTATTTCGTGCTCCTGCAACCTGCAGACGCTTTGAGCACGATGCTGGCCCGAAGTGACCTCAAGGTCGAGCGAGGTTAGGAAGCAATGAAGGGAGCAACATAATGCGAATAAAGTAGACAGGCTTTTAAATATCTAGCCATGAAATATAATGCGTGAGGCAAGCAAATCTAGGGGGGGCTTCCGGAAGCGGGCCTCAGCTTCTGTTTCAGCAGAAGTACTTAGCACCAGATCGACCTTACAAGGGGGGTTTAACTAGAAAAAGTGGGGTGCCCTGCACATTTTACTGCTAATTATGCACTTTTGGGTTTTAGCTACGTAATTTTATGTCCGGCATCCGCAGCGCTGTAGTCAAAGACGTTTATGCACAGCAAATACTAACTGTCTCTCCTCCCTGTTAGTGCTTTCCATTTGTCAAAAATCTCCCCTTCGCCACTAGTTTCGCCATGAGGCTGGTATTGTCCGACTGTCTTCTTTTTCTCTTTCGATTAAGTGGAATTCACTACCGTATTCTGGCCGCCCCCAATTTCGCAATACGGGCCAACATGACCATGAGAATATTACCTCACCGTAGTAGCCCTCGCCAATTTATCGTAGATTCCCCTTTTCATTCCGTCCATCAAACTCTGCAGCTCCTTATTAGCAGTATCGGCAGCATTTTCGGCGTTTAAAGCCTTTGGGGCGGAGAAGCTCAAAGGCAACAACTCCGCTGTAGCTCTGATCTGCTGCTCAACACGTGACAAAATGTTGTTCTTTGCCTGCAAGAGGATGCGAGTGATCGAGACAAAGTTAATTTGGAAAGATGATTGGAGTATTGAGAGCCTCTTCGGTTCTCCATTTGTTTCCTTACCTGCTCGAAGGAAAGCTGCAACTGGTTCTTTTCTTCGTTTTGTACTTCCAACAAAGTCCGCAGCTTCTTCGCAATTTTTTGTTGCAGCGTTATGACTCTAAAACGCGGGTAATAAGGATATAACAACTATATAAAAGGCAAGAGTGGGCTACAAGCACAAAGAAAAGCTAGAAGTAGCTAAACGGTTCCAAAGCTGCCCTCGTTTTAGTGTGCCTTTTAAATGGCATTCCACGAGCTCACGCATGCCTTGCCTCCTGAACCTTTGAGAGCTTTGTCTCTTGCACCCTTCGCTTGATCAGTTCCTGGAACGTTTTCGTTTGAGCATAAAACTGACCATGAGCGACTAAAAACTTGACGCTGCTAGCTGCCTTTTTACCAATAATTTGAGAATGCTCTCCATCTCATGTATTACTCCTGGCACCTGTTTCTGCTGACACAGCTGGAAGACGCTAAGCAGTTCCGTTGCACGATTTTCGACTTCTACATCTTTTGGAAAGGACGAAATGAAAGGCGGAGCATGTTGCAAGGGTGAAGAGGTGAGCCGCAATGCGGAACGAGGACGAACGGTAGGATGGACGTTCGATTTATCAAAGACCAATTTATCTGTGAATCCTTTAGGCCTTTTTCTTATGTGTTTTGTCTGAATTCGCATTGCAGTTGAACAATAAACGAGATTTTCGCAGTTGTGTTCTTCAGGCAAAATACTTACTGATGAACGTGGTGCAGACTCATCTGTTTCGCTCTCATGGCGTGATTCTGCAACTTCTTCTCTCTGCCTTTGTCTTCCTTTTTCCGGATATTGGTGCATCAGTAGCTGCTGAAGTTTTTCTATTTGATCGTTACACGCAGCAGAAGCGGATGCCACTTCACTTGCGTCAGCAGCTCCTATTGTGCCTGCTGCTGGTAGCTGTTCTATGTCCTTGCCTCCTTCGGAAAGCTGCGCTGTTTCCAGGCTCTTTTGTGTTGGCTGAGAGAGAGCGAAATCTGTAGAGGTGTATTCGCATCGTTTGAGCGGCGAGCTTCTCGGCTTGCATCCATCGACTTCACTCTGCTGCTGCTGCTGCTGCTGCTGCTGCAACAGTGCTCCCGCCTTCTCCACTTCGTCTACTGGTTCCCAGTTATTGTGGCACGACTGATCTGATTCCGTAACTGACAGCAGCACACCACAGTCCGTTTCGCAACTCTTTGTCGTCGCCAAAGAGACACGCCGCCACTGAGCCAACTTTGATGGAGGCGGGGGCTCTGCATGGTTGCACGCTGCGAGCGTGTCTGGGCCTTAGGTGACAAATGTTTGCTCATTTTTTCCGGCTGTATATAAATAATTCTGAGAATACCTCGTTCCCAGTGGTTCTCTGGGGCATTAGCAGCACTCCGAAGTGGGGTGAAGACACTCGCTCTGTTGCCTATGGATACTATGCATCGCACCGCTAGAGGGATGTCTAGAAGGGCGGAGCCAAAGCCTCCATTCTGGTTGCAGATCAACTCACGAACATCTGCCGTATTCGGTCGATTCTCATCAATCCCGTTTCTAGGTAACCCGGCTTGCGTGGTATCCTCATCAATATCCTGCAGAACATGTAGTGTGTTTGTGGTTTCAGCATTAGTAGAGCGATCAAGTTACTTTAGTGGAGGCAAACATGATGCGCTGGTGAGGCCTGCCGTTCCTTCCGTTGTGTAGTTTTTGTCTTTCACTTGTTTTGCTGGTGGTGTTCGGCCACAAAAGGGAGGAGGGTGCCAAGAGCTTCTCTGCTTGGTTCGTATCCAGGGGCTCTCTAATTTCGTCAATGACTCCTTCAACAAATGCTACATCATATGCTTCCATTTCCTGCGTCGCCAAGTGACAAAACCAGTTTGAACTCCAGGTGCGCAAAGAGCATAGTGGGTAAGCCGCTGGCTCACGTCTAACCGAAGCGCATTTGCCAAACGGGTGTGCAATGCCGCGGCCTCTTTCTCGCTTTTCAATGAAAGGCACGCACTGTCACGGCTGCCGAAAAGTGCATCATGGTCCTGCAACACCATGCGGGGGTCGCTGCCTGAGATGCGGAATTTGGAAAACGAAGCAACAGAATAATCGCGCGGACTAGGAACTCTAAATCCCAACTACACGCCAACTTCGAATTAAGGGTTCCATACCTTCAGAGAGCAGCTGGTTGAAAAAAAGCTTAATCTTCTTCTCTTCGTACCGCATATGCGTTATCGCATAGAGGGGTACAGTGAAAATTTTGGACTTTTGATTATGGAGGCGCATTTCGTTAATCCCGTTATGCCTCCAGGGATCGCATGAGCCTCTCACTGGGTTGCTTTCCCGAATATGGATGGCGATGCCATCATAGACCACTCGTTGTTTCGCCTGCGCAGTCCATAAATATGCAAACGGCCCTTTCGAACATTGGGGCTGCGGCATGCAGGTACCATTTGCTGGATGCTTGCGTCAAATACATCTTTGGTTTCGATGCTTGTTTGTTCATTGTTCCTCCATTCAATCAGTGCCTCCAGGTCAAAGGAGTTCATGCGCAGCAACAGCTCTGGCAAGCTCTCGTATGCTGCAAGCTTCCTGTAAAAGTCGAATTCCTCCGCAGGCACTGCCCCACGCCTCTGTCCCTGCGCTTCAGGGAATATTGCGTGCAACGCTTTGTGTATAATTTGGCCTATTGTGTACAACAAGACGCAGTTGTTATAGTTGTATGCGATGCATTCACAATTTTGAGTTACCGTATATGCTAGTTATTGCGTAGGGAATTCTACCAACCAGACAAGTCGCAACTTCTTCCAATTCTGCATCAACCTGGTATTTTATTGTTAAGTGATAGTTCAGCTATTTCCCCTTTCAGTTCAGGCTGACTTGGCAAACGATGCCATCCGCGTTTTCAAGCAGAAGCAAAAATAGCTGGCCTGCTGCCACCGCTGGCTTTTGATATGCAAATCGCCGTGCCAGGTCATTTCTCCTCATTAATTTTTCTGCGAAGATAGAAGAGTTATTGCTTTTACAGTATACCAGGCAAGGAGGATCGGTCCTACCCTCAGGGGCAACCAGGCACCGACCAAGACACAGCAGTGAAATGCGCAGGGCCGACGAAGCTAGTCCTAGGCAAGGCGTTGAGCCTTTATGCTTTCTGTATTTATTAATATTTAGGATGCACGCACTATAGATCGATTCTCCTAGAAGAACAAAAATGCGTGCGCCGTTCTTTTGAGCCAGCCTCAGCTGATGTTTCGCAAAACATAAACGGGTAACAGGCAAGAAAGCAGGAATTTCCGCTCACATAAAGCCTAATAGAGAGCTCGAGGACAGACGCCGAAGTAAAATCATCGAGGATCCAGCACTTGCATGTGCACGCCGCCATGATATCCTGAAAGGGGTTATTAGGTTAGTGTGCGTCACTCAAAATTTGCGAACAGAGTATACCAAGGCAACGCTGAGGTTAGCATCGAAAGCCAAAATATCAATAAGCCTCTCATCACGCAGTCCATTGTTGAAGAGGCGTAATGCCGCCTGTGCTACCGGCATCCGGAGACAATTCATCGCATCTAGACTAATGCACAGTAGCTCGTGGGCTGCTGCTGTATTGATCAGTGTTATGTCCCCCTCTACGTGCGGCACCAGGGCCTCCAGTTCATTCAACGTCGCGAGAAGATCAGCATCACTAGCGCTTCGTACACTTCGAAGAGCTTGTACGCAGAGTTCCTGCGTTTCAGCTGCCTCGTGCTCCATTGGAAAAGAAAAGCAAAACGGATTTGGAAGGGCGAATTGGTTAGCGAATCCAAAATATCACCGGCTAATCACTTAAGAACACCGCAACAAGCAGTGCAGCGGCAAGCCAGAACACACGTCAATTAGACTCTTTATAAGGAAAACAGCTGATACACTAGACTGATATCATATGGAATGAAAGCTTTTGCATACCGAAGTATGTAGAATCGAGGGTTATAGCTGCTTTGTCTACGTTGCAGGAGTGTGCCCGGAGTGCGCGTACACCACAGGTGCCCATTCATGATTCATGAACTGCCTTTCGTGAAAGGATGGATTAGAACATTGAGTCTAGTCCTGAATTGGCACACAGCTCAGTAATGCCGCTCTGTGTGTGCTTTGTATAGTTTATGATTTCCCGTGAAGCTCGACGGGACATGACTGATCGCGTCCTCCGATAGAACTAAGCGTACTACTATAACTTAGGGTGCTTTCTTTAGAGTTAATCACTCACAGCCGAGGTGTTTTAAAAGCTATTCAGGGGTACTATGCACTGCAGGGCCTTGTGCGGATCCTGCGGCAGCGCATGCAAACTACGTCTCCATGAACACTTAAAAGACTGAACCTTCTACCTTTAGGGAGAGGGCTTACCGTCCATAAAAATCAGATTGCTTGCAAACTTTAGCCAAACCTCGCAGCGTTACTCTCTCTCTCTCTCTCTGCATTGCGACCGCGCCGAAGGGAGTCCGGGAGACACTGCTTAAAGCGTAGCCTGACTTCCGGGCTTCTGAATCCTAGCTTGGGCGTTTAGTCGCTATCTCTAGTGTCAAAGAAATAACTCTTCGGCTCGTTGAGCTTAAAGCTGAGCAGTGGCCAGGACTCTGGCTTGCTGAAAGGCCGCTGCCACCGCATGGTGAAAATTTGCATGCAGCCACGACGGTCGGCGGGTGGGTTGAACTCTGTTTTTGCTGCCTTGTCCAAGGCTCTTGAGGGCTTTTACTGTGGGGCTACTAGCAGCCGCAAGACAGTGTCCCACGCTTTTGCAGAAGCTGGCGGCTTCTTGTCCGTGCAAGTAGGTCATTCCTGGCCTCCTGATCCCTGCGGAGATCTTGCTTAGGTCTCTTGGATATAGCGGTGATTCCCCTGCTTAGAGACACATAGGCTTTCACGTCTGCACCCCCGAAGGCGGGTGTTGCGGTGATCCTGGGCTTGACCAAGGCTACACCAGCGGCAGTTGGGCAATCACGACAAAGAGCATCCGAAGATCTGCACAAACGGCAGAGAATAAGTCCCAGCACCAGGCGCGGGCACGAAGAACCTTTGCAGGTGCAGCAGCGCTTTGGGAAATACTGTATCCGTGGTAGAATCTCCGGATGAGAGAGCTGCTGCCGCTCTTTCGGATACAGCGACAGGAGGGCCTTCCGCCGTTGGTCTGCAGCGAACAAGATGGTGCTGGCGGAGCTTGGCCAGCAGATATCGGGCGCTCTGAGGAACCTTCAGAGCGCCACGATTGTGGATGAGGCCGTAAGCCTAGGGCTAAGCTGTATCTCCTTTCTGACTTGAATATGACTTGCACTTCGATCATGGAAGAGCATGCATGAGGACAGGAGGGCCACTGTAGCGCATCCAAGCTATGCTGCACTCAGAGCCCCTCGCTTGCTTTCGAGGACCGCAAAAGCAAGGGTGCTCAGCTGGGGATGTGTGTATTATGCATGACTTGGTTTATTTTCCAAGTTTGAAACACTACACCCTGATTGCTTGGCCTCGAAACGGTTGGCTGCGTCCTGCTTCATGCATGTGCTGCAGATCTGTGTTGCCACTGGAGCTTCTTCCGCTGTTTCGCGTCCAGCATATCCCGCTACTGCTGTGTGTGGCTGCTGGCGCAGGTGGTGGGGGAGTGCGTGAAGTCAGTGTGCCGGGCCTTGCTGCTGGCCGATGTGCAGCTGCGGGTAGTCCAAGACTTTCGGCGCAAAGTGACTCAGCAGATTAATGCGCAGATACAGCAGAGCAGCACTGGCAGCAACGGTAGTGGTGCTGGTGGCGGCAGCAGCAGCAACAGAAAGAAAGGAGCTGCAGCTGGGAGCTCAAAGGCTTTCGATGCGGTGAGCGGCACAGCAGGACCCTCCGGCCCTCAAGGAGATGTCATGGCGGAGGTTTACCTACAGGCAGCCTCAGCGGGCGTCAATACGAGGCGCATTATTCAGAAGGTAAGCAGCGCATGCCGCCTTACGCGGGATCCTAAGAAATGCGACACAACGGGGGCAAAGACCTTGGTTCAGCTATCGTTGGCAGGACGTCCCCTGTTCCCCTTCTCATAGGCGGATGCGTGATGCTAGCATGCGCATGTGTTGCTTTAGCTGCGCGCACAGCTGGTCACTTCCTGCATGAGTGAGTGCTGCCTCCCGTTTCTCGGCCTGCGCGGGGGGTGTGCGCGGTATACGCAACGGCTAGATTCTTTGCTGATGCATGCATTTGGGGAAACAGGTTGGTTTTGTGGCTTGCGCATCTGCGTTTAGTGCGTTGTCAACGAGCTGGTATCCTTGGTGACGCCTGAAAAGACTCCGCGGCCCTTGAAGAAGGGCAGCTGCAACGTTGTCATGTTTGTCGGCCTTCAAGGTTCCGGCAAAACCACAACTTGCACCAAATATGCGCTTCATTATCAACGAAAAGGTATAGCTGTGGGTGCTGGTGCTGTTGGTACAACGGCTGTGGGTGCGCCTCTGTCGTCTTCTTGCATATGGGAATTCCCTCGATGCACCACGCTGCATGAACACTAGAGCAGAATGCACGAGCCGTTGCCCCCTTATTGTTTAGCCCCTCCCCCGCTCGCTCTCTCCCCCGTTCACGAGCGCAGCGTTATATATGCAGGGATGTATAGCACTGGAGGCGCTAGTTAGTCTGTCTTTCATGGCACATCTGCGTCGGACTTCTTGAATGCCTACCGTGTCTGTATGGGGTGTATTACATTTCAAAGTGGCACGATCTGGCTGCAAAAGCTCTTCCAGCCGCCCCTTACGGGGCTCTGTCCCAAACTCAGCCCGTGCACGTCTTCCTCTGCTGCTGGCACTGGATTGCCTGAAATCTCAGGCGTGCAAAAGGCAGGCAGTCGAGTACGTGGGTTATTTCTTAGGGTGGCGCACTGCGTTGGTGTGCGCGGACACGTTTAGAGCAGGTGCCTTTGACCAGTTGAAGCAAAACGCGACGAAGGCGAGAATTCCCTTTTACGGCAGGTGGGTTTTTTTGTGTCTCCCAGGCCGCAGCAGCCGCGCGGTGTTGGCGTTTTTCGGAGTGGTTGGCTTGTGCGTGTTATGTGTATGGATTTATGTATAAATATGCGTACATGTAGACATCTTGCCTGTGCATGCCTATGGGTATGGCCTCGCGGTGAGAACAGGCCTAGGCTTGAGAGGGGTGGCGAATGAGGGTGGTATCCCTGCAGCTACACAGAGGCGGATCCCGTGAAGATAGCGGAGGAGGGCGTGACCCAGTTCAAGGAGGAGCGCTACGATCTGATTGTTGTGGACACCTCCGGAAGGCACAGACAGGAGGCTGCGCTGTTTGAGGAAATGCAGCAAGTGGCAGACGCAGTGGTGCGGGTGTAGGACTTGGATAGAGTTTGGGCCCGTAGGGAGTAGTAGGCTGGGTGTTTTCTCCTTAGGCTTCTCACGAGTTGATGCTGGCGCGCGGCATGACTAAGCGCAGCGCTGCAGCAATACCTGGTGACTCTGCTGGGCTTTTTATTGCGTTGTTTGCTAGAACCCCGATGAAATCGTATTTGTAGTCGACTCGCACATCGGGCAGGCCTGCTACGATCAGGCTGCAGCTTTTTCTGCAAGTGTGTCCGTCGGGAGCGTCATCATTACCAAGTTGGACGGGCACGCGAAAGGAGGCGGCGCGCTCTCGGCGTACGTACACCCCAGATGCCCCGATAGACATGATTGTAGAGTATTCTTTTAAATTTAGCAGCCACCGGTCCAGACGAGCCTCTGTCGGTCATTCGAGCGTGGCATTTACAGCATGTTTGTATGTGTATGTATGTATATGTGTGTATATGTGTGTTTATGTATTTGTATGTATATGTATGTACGTATATGTATGTGGATGTATTAGTATGTATGTATGTGTTTATGTGTGTATGTATGTACATAATATATATATATATATATATGAGTACGTGCGCTTGCAGAGTTGCTGCTACGGGGGCCCCCATCATCTTCTTGGGTAGCGGGGAGCACTTTGACGACTTTGAGGCCTTCGACGCCAACTCCTTCGTCTCCAGGCTTCTGGGTCCGTCTTACACCGCGGAGGCGCTGGCTGTCGAGCGCGCACTCTTTCAAAGGGTTGTCAAGCATGCGGGCTGCCAGGGATTCTTTCAGGCTGCGAGGGTTTCTTTCTGCTTGGCTCAGTTTTGTTATTACCGGGGCTGCGGCCACGCCGCTGGACCGCTAGCGAGGGACGAGGGAACGAGAGAGAGAGAGGCAGACGGACAGAGGGGCCCTTGTGGCTAAGGCGTGACCAGAGGCCCCCTCTGCTTCTCTTTGTCTTGTGTTGGGCGTTTTCTTCTGTCGCTGCGACTGAGGCCTCGGAAGCCTCGGCGAGGCCAGCGGCCTGGGTCCCGTGCATATTGTGCAGAATTTGTGGTCGGCAGGGTGCCTGTGTTTTTATGCGTGTACGGGTTTTCTGTGTTTGTGTGTGGCGGTTTAATGTGTATGTGTTTTTATGGGTTTGTCTGTTTCTGTGTTCCTTTTTTGTGTGGAATTTGCATGCACCAACGCATGCGCCTGTTGTTGCGCGGCCCAGGGTTTGGCGACGTTGGCGGCCTGGTAAATAGTTTAAAGGAGGTGATTTCGACGGAGAAGCAGCAGGAGTTGATGGAGAGAATAGCAAAGGGGAAGTTTACGCTGCAGGACATGTATGATCAGTTTCAAAACGTTCTCAAGATGGGCCCTCTCAGCAAGGTGCGATGGTTTCTGAGTTGGGGCGACGAAGATTCTCTATTGCGTCTTCCTGTAGATGTATTACTGCATGCAGTGATGGAGCTACACTTCGCGCCTTTCTTTAGAAGAAGAGATGGGGAGTGCTGCCTGGCGCGAGGCTTGTGTGGTGGCTTGGGGTGTGTGTGCAGGTGATGAGCATGATTCCAGGCCTCGGAGCGAACCTCATTCCTAAGGGTGAAGAGCGGCTTGCGGCTCGGCGAATTAAGCGACTGACTTGCGCGATGGATTCGATGACAAAGGAAGGTAGGTGCTAGCGGCCATGTGCCTGGAGAAGAGGTCGGCTGGAGGCGTGCAGGTACCTGTAGGGTGTTATATGAGAAAGAGGCCTCCCACGCCGCGCACTGTGCGCATAGTTGGGCCATTTGAATATATGTTGCCACTCAAGGAGGAGGATTGTTGCGCAATGGGGAGCCTCTTGGCAGCGCCTTCCTCCTCGTCTTTCCCAAATCGTCTGTTCGCTTTTGTGTGCCTTCCACCTCTCTGGTCAGCTCGCCTATGCTGCAGATGCGCACTTCTGCCTTCCAGGCGCATCCGCACCGCACCGCTCGTTCATTCCTCATGGGGATATGTTTGTTTTCAGAACTGTCTTGCGAGAAACCCTTTACGGACTCGCGGATGAGGCGGGTTGCACATGGCTCTGGCACATCTGTGGCCGAAGTAAAACTTCTCCTAGATCAGCACAAACAGTAAGGCTGAGAGCTGTATGGACAGGAAGGCGCAAAAAATAGAGCAGTGCGGCTTGGCGAGACGAGGGAGTGATTGTAGGGGGTGTGGGGCTGTTAATGCGATTGTCTTCAACTTCTGACTGCTAGAAATATGTGCACATTTTTTTGTGACCCTTTTGTGTATAGGCTTTATGTGAGTGTTCCTCTGTCCGCATTTGTGTGCTTGTATGCGTGCATACGTGTATGGGTGTTTGTAATATTCTATTTGCTTCTGTTGTCCCGAGTATGTGTGCTGGGGAGCTCCAGTACTCCGGCCTTGTTCATGTTGCATCTGTATTTCTAGCGTTACTTCTTTGGAGACGTTGGTCGTTTCCTGCGCTTGTCGTGCGTGCGTGTTTAAAGATTGTCTTTCGGGTCGGCAATCTTTACTCTTGGAGCTGCTGGTGCTTTTTCTCCTGTGCTCAACATGCTTCCTGTTTGCATGTCTTTTCACCTTTGCTCGTTGTTGCGTGCTGTGCGTTGGTCACGCTGGAAGCGTGGTCCCGTCTCTGTCTGCTTCTCTGGTCTGCCTAAGGTTTAGCAAGATGATAAGCAAGATGGGGAAAGTAGGCCTCACTAAGGAGGCTGCACTGCAGAATTTATCGAGGAATCCTCAGCAGCTGCTTAGCAGGATGCAGGCGGCCATCGACCCGAGGGTTCTAAGGCAAATGGGAGGCGCAGGAAATGTCATGAACATCCTGAAAGAAGTAAGCAGAGATGCATGACGGCGAGCAGACACGGCATGAGCCAAAAGGGCCCAAAGGAAGGGGGTGCAGGGACAGAGTGAGCGGCAAGAGCGGCTCTGAAGGAGAAACTGCACGAAGACGAGGAGGGACGAAACGCGGTTAAAGGTCTCCTTAGTATATGTGAAAGTGTTTCTGTCCTGTTCGCGTGCGCTGTCCACCATCACGCGCAGTAAAAGAAGTCCCTTCCATTGTTTCTGCTTGTTGCGGTTGCTGTATCTTCCCTCCCCCTGCCTGACATGATGACGTTCTGGCTGCGGTGTTTTGATGTGCAGCTCCAGTCGGGCGAAATGGGAGACATGCAGGAGATGATGCGACAGTTTGGGGCTTTTGGGGGGAGGTAGTCAAACCTCAAGTAGGTGCTCCCCTCTATTCGCCCAACGGCATTTTGGGCAGCTAGCAGCCCGCTGGCTAGAGAGCCGGATTCGAGCAACTGGCTAGCTGGGTAGAACGCTTTCAGCAGCTTACTGACCCGCGAGCCAGTCAGCTGCTCAGAAGATACAGTTGCAGCTCGCTGAAAAGTTGCCGGTGCTCAGGCCAATCGGGCTGGTGTTCGGCCTGGTGTTGGTAGCAAGCCTTTGTTGACAAGTGATTTGGCGAGCGCCCTAGTGGCTAGCGCGGGGGTTAGACCGGTCTAGTGCTCCGGCTGAGCTGCTAGTATTGTTCTGTCGTTGCTCGTATGAGCCTGGCTGGCTATGCCCAGCAGTTTGCGGTGAACTGGGTGCTGTACACCACGTGCACCAACTCCCGCTTGTTGTGGTAAACCCTCAAATATTCGGCACTTCTTCAAAAAGGAGCCTTTGGCCCTACAAGTTCATGTGCAAACCTGCTGCCGAGCGTGCCTCTGCGCTGAGCTATCAAAGCAGCAGAATAGGACACGGCGCTCTCACGCGCCAGCAGTCGCAACTGCTGCATTTCGGGTGTTGCTGTCGCCTCTATCATCGGCGGCGGTGGTACCACCTGCAGCAGCTGCTACTTTCTGTAGGATTGCCGTTGCGGCATCAAGTGAAGGGAGGGCTTCCACCGCACTTTGGAACGCTTCGGCATCGAGTTTAGGGGAAGAATGGCCCTCTTCACAGCTGCTGCCCTCTGCTGCCGCGGCAGCAAATGCCGCGTAGGCTCTTGCTGCCTTGAGCAAAGAGCTACAGGCGGCGGTGATCTGCTGCAAGTCCGCTGCGTCTTCTGCCGCTGCTGCTGCCTCTTCAACATTTAGTTCCCTTTGCTGCTGTACTGCCGGGTGCCCGACCCGACATGGTTCCCCGTCCGGCTGTTCCGCTGCAGCATTAGCGCGTTTCTGTTTGCTCTTTTTCTTTCGCCTTGCAGCGGCGGTCGCTGCTACTGCTGAGCAGCGACGCGGAAAGAGCGATTGTGCTGCAGCAGTCGCCAGCACCTGCAGCCGCATTGCACTCCTTATACAGTTGCTGCTGCAGAAACTCGCCGCAGCAGCTGCGGCTGCTCTCTTTGCTGCTTCTATCTGGTCGTCAAAGTACAGAAGCATGCAGTCTAAAGAGTCGGGGGAGGCGGCCACTGCTGCTTTGAGCACCTTGCTGCTGCACGGCTCCCGATGCTGCTTTTGGAGTAGACCCTTGCGGTGCGCTTGCTGCTGCAGGACTGTGCCAAGCAGCTCGAGTGCCTCTAGGGGGTTTCTCTCGCTTAAGGCTTCAATGCGTGCAGCTTCGGCTGCAGCGGCCTCCGCTGCAGCAGCTTCAGCTGCTTCTTCTTCTGCGGCAAAGACGGCTAAAGGAGCTGCCTCAAAGAGCAGCCGCTGCTGCTGCAACTGCTGCAGCTGTGCACAGAGCCGCTGCTGCTCCTGCCGAAATTCCCCCCACTGCTCCAGCATATGAGACAGCTCAGCCCACGGTATTAGCTCCTGCTGCTTTGCTCCTGTGCTGCTGCTGCTGCTGCTGCCGCCGCTGTCAGCGAAGGAGCCTAGTGAGATACCAGCTGCGGCAAGCAGCAGTTCTTCGAGATCTTCAGCTTGCTTCATGGGGGAGGAGTTCCCCTTGCTGCTATTGGTGGTGCTGTTGCTGCTGTTGACCCCTCCTGAGCAAGTTCTCGACATTCCCTTAACAACCATACAGCTCGACATAGGTACCTTGCTCCTTAGTCCTAAAGCGCTTTCCTCCGATCCTTAGAGCTGAGGAGGAGTGCGGTACTCCCAAACATCGTTCAGGGGATGCTGTTCTCGAAACATCTGTTGCAAAAGCCGGGGTCGATCGGCGGGTGCCGCGGATGCTGCTGCACGGCACTGCAGCAAGCGGTCCAAGCCACGCATCCATACACCGCTTATATCGTGGGCTGCACGCATGTACAAATGCATCTACAGAGACCGAGCAAGGTGATACCAGCCGAGCGAGAGCGCTCAAGTCAACCCACTTACCCCTCAACACCCGTTTTTAGAACCATAGAGGGGTTGACCAACTAGGCGTTTCCGTTGCAGACACAGCCACACAGGGCAACACGCAACAACTGCACTGCCAGACTCGAGAAGAAGCCCTCAAGCCCACGCGCCCTCGGAAGCCTCACTTGCGTGGTGTATCCTGGGCAGCCAAAACGCGTTAATGCCTGCCAATCTCCAGCCAAACCATTCATCTAGGCAGGAAAGGGAGAAGCCTTCTTCTTGGGCAGACGAGAAGGACGGTAGAAGGCCATACCAGCCTCCAAAGTTGCAAAAGTCCCGAGGCAAGGCGGGCGTCTTCAGACTCATTATTCAACGCCACGGGCTGCAACCACGAACCGTCACTCTCTTAGAAGAAGGAGCACGTCTCTGCGAGAAAGACGCATAGCCGTAAAGCAACAAATCAGTCTTCTGCTGCAGAGCGGGAGGCCTACACGCAGTGGAGGGCCCCTCTGGGGACCAGCGTCGGTTCCCTCGCCAGCAAGCCCTGTGGTTCAAGAGGCTGCATCCGACTTGAGGACTTTGAACTTCTGTGCGCGTTTTAGCAAAGCAGTTGCTTGGTCCGCCATACGGTTGAAAGAAAATTCTTTTTTCAAAGGGGTTCGGCTGTACAGACCCGTATTTGCAACCCCACACCGCCATCGAGGGTCGCGCCCACAGAACGCAGGAGGGCGGCGCGCTGCGTGGTGTCCCCGCCATTGCCATTTCAGCTTTCAAACATCTGGCGTTTTTGCTGCCTCTTCGACGACGCCGCTCTTGTGGCGAAGTCTCCTCAGGAGGGCTTTGAACAGCAGCGCACAGGACGTGAGCCCTCCCTCTCGTGCCTTACTGCCTGCCTTCTGCGGCAGCTGCGCCTCAAGCAAATCGGCCCTTCGCGTGTTCTACGGACGGACTGAAGGCCGCAGCAGCCCCTGTATTTTGCAGCAGCGTTCATCTTTCGCAGCAGCAGCTGCTCCAGAGGCAGCCGCGGCAAGATGCCTCGACGCCGGGTTGCGAAGAAGAAGCAGCGGCAACGCGCGAGCGCTGCCAGTGGCAGCGTCGGCTCTGACAACAGCGCGTCTGAGGGTCAGGAAGGCGCTCCTGCAAGTATTGTGGTACGGCGTGGACGCTTGGATGCCTCTTGCCGTCTGCTTGTACGTGACTGGAGGCAGGTCATGGGGCCTCGCGTTGCAGCGAAGCTGCGCGAGAGCAGAAGGAACAAACGAAAGGACTTTGTAAGCGTTGCAGGCTGTCTCGGGGTGAGTCACTTCCAAACGCTTACTCAAACGGACAACGGGGTCTACCTGCGAGTTGCGAAGCTCCCTAGGGGGCCGACGGTCACCTTTCAGGTACGCCTGCATTCAGGTAACTCCTCTAATGCTCATTGTAGCGCACAGTGGTTAGGGGGAAAAGAAGGGGAACGTGTGGAGGGATGGCGCGCTTGCCGTCTAGGTTCAAGAGCAACAAGCCTTGCCTGTGTAGACTTTTTGCAGTGGCCTCGCCGTTTTTGCGCAGGTTTTAAAATTCTCGCTGATCAGTGACGTGCAACGCCAAGTCAGCGGGGCCCGCTTGGATCCAAAGGACCTCCGCAAGCCGCCAGTTCTGGTGCTCAGCAGTAGCAACGTTAGCAGCAGCACCAGTAGCAGCAGCACGAGCAGCAGCGGCGATGGCTTGAAGATGTCAGAGGCCCTCAACTTGACCTCGTCCATGTTGCGTTCACTATTCGCTCCTGTAGACGTTCGCACAGCCAAGGTACTTACTCAACGATCCGAAACGCGATTCGGATGATGCCCACAAAATTAAAATTCCCGTCTGCGTTTCACTTAGGCCTGCACAAATCTGAGCCATGCAGCAGCGGCACAGCCTAACCGCCCTCCCAAAACATCGGCTGCTCTGCTCTGCACCTGGGGGCCGGGAGGGATTGGACTCAGACCAGGAGATACACTAACGGCCAGGATGCTTGGGAGTGTGCAAGTTTCATGCCTGGTGTGTATATATGTATGTCTATGTATGTATGTGTTATATGTATGTATGTGTGTATTTTTGTGTATGTTTGTATATATGTATGTGTGTGTACATGTATATACATATATATTCATGTATATGTGTATATGTATATGTATGTGTGTATATACAGCTAAACGACTTCAGGCGCGTGGCTTTCTTTCGTCGAGTGCCTGAGCGCGGGTCCAAGACCTCTGGTGAAGAAGGCATCCTCTTCCAGTTTAGACATTATTCTGTGTCCTTGAAGGCAGCCAAACTGACTGCTGGGGTCGAGACAGTACTGCGGGCTTCTGCAGGAGGCGCAGTACAGAAGCAGTTGCTGAAGCAGCTGCAGCAGCAGCAGACAGACGCGTGTGACCTGCTGCTGGCGTCGGAGCAGCAGCGACAACAATCGCAGCAGCACCAAGTCCCGCTGGACCCTGCTGTCTGTTCGTCCCGTATTTCGAAGGGAAGTACGTTGCAGCTGCTGCTGCCGACCACGCAGCAACAACAGCAGCAGCAGGAGCAGCCACAGCAGCAGGAGCAGCAGCAGCAGCAGGAGCAGCAGCAGGAGGAGCAGGATGAGCTGTCCATGGCTGTACAGCTTAGGGAGATCGGCCCTAGACTTGAAATGCGGCTCATTAAGATTGAAGACGACGTTTGTACGGGAAAAGGTGCGCCGAAAATAAATGCAAGCTGCTTTAGCCGGTTGTGCGCAGGATGCTTGTGGGATGCATGCTCTTGTTCCTGTGAACGATGCTGAAGCTACGGAAATTCCTGTTGCTCTTGCTGCTGCTGCAGTGCTGTATCACAAGCATGTGTCGAAGACTCCTGAAGAGCTGAGGGTGCTAAAGAAGAAGGAGCAGCTGCTCAAAGCTAAGAGGGAGTAAGGACTGCTGCTTCGTGACGGCCTCTGAAGGGCCTTCGCCTTATTTGTGCACGACAACTGTAGCCTCTAATCAGCAAGAAGGCGCAACAGCAGTGTGGCCGCAGTAGGAGGAAAGAGTTTGTGTGTACTGCTGCACCGCAGGGAGGAGCGGCAGAAGTTGCTACAGCTGCTCCAGCGCAAGGAACCCAAGAAAGCCGCCGCAGCAGCAGGTGCAGGAACAGATGACCCAGAAGACAAGAAAAGCAGCAGCAGCAGCACTAGAAAGAGAGAAGAACGCAGCAACGATGACGTATACGAAGAAGAGCCCTCCTCTTCAGAGCCAGAGGAAGCTGTGCAGCCGAAGAAGCGAGCCAAGTCTGCCAAACCCTAAGCCGCAAACTCCGAACTGAGAAAGCAAATCCTTAGCTGAAAGGCAGCATGCCTTCATCCCCAAGCAGCAAAACCAAAGACCTTGCGTATACATATATATATATATATATATATGGGCTTATATGAAAGTGCTGCAGTACAAGGGTGCATCTTTGTCTCAGGTTCAACCCGTTCACGTTCAAGCAGCGCAAGTCTGCTACTGCGGCGTCCATGCAGCAGGATCAGCAGGAAGTACAAGCTGGCAAGAAGCAGCAGCGGCATACAGAGCGAGCCTTGACGGGACAAATCGCTACCAAGGTCTCACAACCAGGCAGTGGGAGTGGAGGAGCGACTTTGAAGCCAGCAACAGCGGGCCCGAAAAGCAGCACCAAGTGGCGAGGCAGTAACAAAAACAGGGCAGAAAGGGATGCAGCTGGGCAGCGCGCGTAGCATCCACGTGCATTTATGAGAGGTCTACGTCTTGAATATTTGCCGTAGGTTGAGGCGACATGGAAATGAGGATACGAGGGGATTAGACCACGAACGTGGGGTTCAGATACACTGAGGCTCCCGGTGCAACGTGAAAGTTGCATCCTCATGTGAAGGGAGTGATGCACTAAACTGGCTGGCTGCAGTTTAAGCTATTGGCAAAAACGTGTAAGCGAAGATTTCTTGAGCACGCAGATTAGGTCTTTCGGGGCGAAGGTTGCGAGCGGCAGCCTCCAGCAGAAAACATCCCACGCCAAGCAGTTTCCTCTTGCCCAACAAAACCACAGCAAAGGGGCCCGGACGATTTAGGGGTCTGGTCGACTTTCGAGTGAGCAAGACACCGCCAGCACATGAGTGTCTCCTCCCTATCTAATTAGCGAGGTTACTCGAGCGGGGCCTTCGACGAGACGGAGTGGGGTCAAGCATGCGAAATTGCGCAAGCCTTCAACCTCTAAGCGAGGCCCCCCAATTTGCCTCTCAAAAGGAGCTCCCCAATATCTGATTTGAGCCTTTCATGCAGCCAAATAATAATCCTGTCCATGGACCCACGCGGGCCGCAAACTGAAAGTGAGCGACCTAAAACGAGTGCAAACACAAACATGGCTGGCTTTCCGCTGTGGCACGCGCTAAATGCATGCGCAGAGCAGCCACCCGCTGCCAACTACTCACTACATACTTGTCCCGGATGACTTGCGGTAGGGTCCATTCTCACTCAACATCCGGCAAACAACGGCGCATCTAAGCTGAAGAGTTGACTACCATGTGCCCACTCTGCATATTCTGAGTAGGAGGTTTCCCCCTAATCTAGCGTGCAGTTGCTGCGTACGGAAAGCGTCACGTGGGTCCCTCGATACAAAATTTTTAAATCCCTTATCAATCTCTGACAGGAGATCTGCAAATTCCTGTAAGTGCAGCACCCGCACACCACACACTCTAAACGATTCGACAAGGGCAGAAGGACACGCGTTGAAGCTCCACTCTCCACGGCGAACGGGTTTTCTGCCTAGAAAATGCAACTACACACCTCCTGTGTAAGCTCTCCCGGAAGATTCTGCACAAAGCACGCACGACATGAAACCCTAAAACCATCAACGCGAAGCCCTCCACCTACGCTCCACGTCCTTCATCACAAAAACTATCTAGGCTCCAGTCATTTACCCGGTAGCGGATGAGCACAGACTCGAGCGCAACCCCCTTGAATTCAAGACGCAGGAGACCTAAGCCAACACATGCATCAGTAACAACAGCTACAACCCTCGTAACGAGTCAAATGCAGCATCACCAACAGGGGCAGCAACCGCCACCAAGGAAATCGTAAGCGAAGCTCCAGCAACAGCGGAGCATAGCGATCATGATCCTTACGCGCTGCACACAAAAACACACAGCACACACCAGCTACGCCCTTCAAATACCAGGATTTTACCCGTACCAAATCCGAAGTCGCAAATCTGTGCGTTAGAACTCACGGTTCCCTTCTAAGAGTTGGTATCCAAGCATCAAAACTGTTTTCTGAGGAAACAGTGCAAAGCAGACGGCATTGCACACACCCTAATCTGAGCTTTCGATCGCTCAAGCCCTAGAGACAGCCCGTGTATTAGCCCCCTAAGCCCCATGCCGTACATCGCAAGTCAGCACACGAAGTGCTTTTGCTGGTGGTGTCCCCGCCATCATGGTGCAGGTGATCACGAGTAAGGCAATGGCGAAGGTCTTGAAAGCCGCATTAAACAGCCTGCACAGCCAGTGAAGCCTTTCCTTAAGCGCGTCAGGAGAGATCCCCGCAAGTGTGGATCCATGAGGCCATTTCCGAGCACATTCGGGGTGGCCAAGACAATCAAGGGGGACACCCCGTTCTTGGTAGATCCCCAAAGCGTCACAACTGGCCATAATAGAGTCGTATTTAAGGCGCGTGCGTCCCAAGGGAAGCCAGATGTTTCAGGAGCCGCTACAGCGTTAGCCGCTGTATTGGCATCAGGCAAAGCGCTACTGTCCACTTGGCTTGCGTTCGAAGCGCCACCAACCACTTTGCCAACGTACGAGATGTCACTCACAGACGCTATGACTCCCGTAATGTGTCTCGCCGTGACTATATGATCAGAGAAGTCGCGCTCTAGCGCGGCCCCTCACCACCCGCATCCTTCGGGCTGACTGCCTGTGCTGCCCTTGTTTCAGGAGGGGGGTTTTGCTGCTCTGTCGTCTTGCCTGTGTGTATCTCGGTAATGTAGTCTCTCATAGGTAGTTTGGATTCGCCATTTAGGAGTGCGACAAACTGTGCGGCAGCTCCATGGAAATAAGCTGGAGGGGCCTTGGGCGGGCCGTGTTGGAGCGAAGTCTGCTGTGCCTTGAGGGCTGCAACGGGACCTTCTCACGGCTGAAATTCTCTGCGGAGATATGCACATGGAACCTCCCCCCCCCAAAGAGAGCCGCCCTTTGCAACTTTAGGAGAAGCGCACGGTCGGCAAAGGGCCTTTGTGCCTCGATCTCGGGGTCCGCCTGCAAGACTTCTGGCTTAACGAGAACCGCATGGCTGGAGGGGGCCACAAAGGGGGGTTCCATAAGCAGAAGCAGCGGCAAATGAATCAGAATGCACATCCTGCCGACGCTGCTCGGGCGGGTTGTGCTGCTGCACGGACGGGTGCAGCAGCAGCCTGGTCATTGGAGAGAGGCATAGAGGGACCGGTCCAACATTGTACAGGCGCTTGCGATAAAGGAGCAAAGCATGGAAACCCTGAAACCAAGAAACACGTAGACTGCATAAGGCCTCTCTACCAGCGCAGCTTCAGCAACTTTGCTTGCTGCAATAGGGGAAAAGCAGAAAAGAGCCACTCTGAGACACACCGGCACCGAAACCCCTATCCCTAAGTCCTTGGAGTGCCAAGTTAGTACCAGAGGGCAAGGAAAGAGGGCAGTCAACACTGTAAGATGAGCTGCTGTTGAGGAAAGCGGTAGGCTGCATAACAGGCTGCAAATTCCTCCGAGTATTCGCTTAGTGCTCTGCGGCTGCGGATCTGTCCCTTCAAAGGCAACGGGGAGAGTGCGTAGTGGCTGGAATGGGGAAGTAGGCCATAAGAAAGCTGCAGATACTTATCGCACTACGGTACTTAAGGTTTTGTGCCTTGAATTTCAACGGTTGGGAACGATTTGCTAGGGCATTGGAGCGTCGAGTTGTGGGTCAGGTGACCTGAGGCCATCGCTGTCGACCCCCGCCTGGTTCTGAGAATCGCTCTTGGCCTATAGGCGTAACATCGGCACCATAGCAATTGCGCAGATAATTTAGAGGAGTTAATCTGGTCTTGAGGACTAGCATTTGCGTAAATATAGCTGAACAACTAGACTTGTTCCTTTCACTCAGTCCTCGTACACTCTTTGCTCAACGAAAATCACCACTTAATGTCCCTGCGGCGTTCCGCCGTTCATTGTGTGAGCGCAGAGATGCACCCTAGTTTTAGTTGATGCACTATCCTGCACTGAAGGTGAGAGCCCAAGGATATTTTCGTTAGCTTGTGAAGCTGGGACCCATTATCCTGATAAGCTTGTGACTAATTGCCCATTGAAAACCGAGGTTCTGGGGCCAGAGGCAGGGAGAGTACGCAAGCGATAATCAGCATGCACCCCAGGACAAACGCGACCACCACCCACCAGGCACAAACTAAGAAAGCTTTCTACAGGCACTCTGGATTTCCAATTGTAATAAATGGGGTATATACTAAGCAGCTGCTCCTGAATGTCTATTGGGCATTTTTTTTTTGGCAGTACCGCAAGGCAAGGTTCTGTGTGCTTGTGCCATTTCTGAGTACTGGCTCTTCGCTTTAAGGTAATAGACAAGAGACCCTTTATAACAATAGATAGTCGCTATTTTAAAAGCCTCTTTATACACTGCCAATACTGGCTGGAGAGGGGGAATAATACGGGATTTATGAACGCTGTGACAGTCAAAGTGGGCAACTGCACACCGGACACCGCATCCAGCGTCTGGGTCCTGTATGCAGTGCAATTTAGGACCATTACTAAGCATTGTGTGCCGAACGAGTGAGAAAATGCTCTAACTCTTTGCTTTGGGCTCAGTTATGGGGGCTAAAACACTAGTCTGGGGCTCTAGGTGGGCTCGAACATGGGTTTCTTCGTACAGCCTGTTATAGCATTGCAAGAGAAAGGGTCTATTTTGAGAAGCTTCCAGCCGGTAAAAGCTGGATGTATGCACTGGTAGAGGCGAATAATGGTGATTTTCCCCTTCAAGGGGGCGCGTTCTCAACAAGTGCAGACTCTGCCCACATCTAGACGTTCAGAAAACTTGCTGGAATGCATTAGCCTAGCTCAAATAGAGCTAAATGAAGAAAACTGTTTCCTGTGTTCTCCCCGCCATCCGGCAGTGGTGGCCTTCCGGAGTAAAGGCTTCAACGTTTAACACTCCATTTAAGGTCTCCGTAGGAAGACACCCAACTTTAGAGTCTTTTTTTTAAGACAACATTTAGCAAGAAATCGAATGCAATTATGGTAAGAACTCTTGCCTTCCCTGCACATACGCATTAGAGCTCCCCATGGAATGGGAGAAGGACAGTTATAGGAAGCCGTAGGAAGTGAGCGCCGAAGACAGAGTCGACGGGAGCTTCTAGTGAATCGGGGGTGAGCACGGTGGGTGAGACTCAACCTGTGAGGGGGTTATTTTGTTAAGAATTTGTTAGAAATCGCTAGTTGGTCTGTATGACGTATAACTCATTTATTACACAGCAATGTCGGCATGACACAAGAAGACGCAGCCTTGTGTACGTCGTAAAGCACTCCAAGCATTCCCAGCTACCTGCATGCAGCATCAGCGTGCACGCACGCAATATTGCGTCTTCCTGCATTGAAACTACAGTAATCCGCCATAGAAGAGACATGTAAATATAGAAACGAAGCAACCAACTCCTTTTGAATTCTTCGTGACGTACAACTAGTGTAGTGTTTCGCTGTAGCTTGGCTTTCTACATGTTGTCCCCCATTACGAAACATGTGCCCCCATGTTCCGTACCAGTACATCGTTTCACACTACGTGCAAGAGAGAGTGAGAAATGTCACGCTATCATCAATCCCAAGGCACGCAGAAATGCGAAGAACAAAACCGAAGTGTGCATCAACCACCAAAGAGAAATTGGAGGTAAGGAAGATGCATACAATATCCAAAAGGCGACTAACCAAACCAACGCAATCGCGGCAGCGTGATGGTTCGCTATCGTCAGCTTGTTGGAGGAAATAAATGTGTAAAAAGAATCAGTCTTTATACTTGCTTATCGGTACGTCTGCGCCTTACAGGGCGTCGTCTGCATGCCAATATAAGTGGTGCATGTACTACCGTCAACTTAAATTCCTCAAGCAGACATGAAAAAGGAATTTTAAGACCACATATCTGAGACTGTCTGTACATAAGACTAAGTGTTGAGAGCATCTTAACAATAGTGATTGGCAGCTTTTTGGCAGTACCCATAGATGAAGCCATCTTTTTAGCAGAGTGCGCTGAGGCAGGGCATTTAGCAAGGAACACGGGAAACACCGTCTACTGCCGCTAGCGTTGTCTATAAAGCAGCAAGAAAATTTGCCCCACAGCCAACGACCCCCGCAAATGCTTCTCCGTTAATCACTGAGGTTAACGTTCTTTACGCCTTTCCAGCATAATCTTTAGTATGGTATCTCCTCCGTGCCTAATGACCATACAATCCAGCTTTTCATGGCCCTCTGTGGATCTTCCGCTAGCCTCCATGAAGCTTACTTGTGTGCTCAGCAAAGTTCGCGAGTGATTCCAAACGTTTTGATTTTACTTCGAGGAAGTAATTTTCGAGTTCTGCAGCACCTCAAGCATTTAGTCCACTCCACAGAGTCGGAGAGCCCTTTAATTCCCTAAAAGTTGGCGTCAGGTCATTTTTACCGAGCTTCAACTTCATCATGCCACCTTGAGGTGCACCTCTTAATGCCTGGCGATACACCAGCATTAAAACTTTAGGATTGAATGTACAGCCGACTGTTGCGTATGATACTTCCATGCTTTTCTGTCTTGGGTACCGCACCTATATTTCCATGCATTCCCCAACTGTTAAGAGTGTCTGCCGGCTTTGAACTATCAGGTCCAGACCCGTTGGAAAGGGGCTTCTCAATTCAGACCAGAGATGACGGAGAGCAACGGGTAGACGAGTGTCCAACAGGATTTGAAACCCCCGACTCAGCACAAGGAATAAGCTTAAACCAAGCAGCTGGATTTTTATTATCATATAGCTTACAGGTACTACAGACTAGTGGAGTTATTGCGCCCTTCCATGTCCATCTGCTCGAGGGTGGCTCATATTGGACATTAAAGGGTTAGTTTGTAGAGTCATAAAGGCACGGCAAAACTCACTACTGAACTTTGAATGTCTATCCGTAAGGACAATCCTGGAAAATCCGTGAAGCATCTTGCGTTGAACTGATGAATAGACGACTTCCTAAGGTGTGGCAGAGCTGGAGCAAGCCATGAAATGAGTATACTTGCTGAGTCTGTCCAAAGCGACGTACATGCTATCTTGAGCCCTAGCACCCAGCGGCCCAACAATAGAGTCCATAGTCACTTCAGTTCAAATCCTTCCAGAACACGTAATGCTTTGCAAAATTCTGCGTCTTTGAGAATTACGCGGCTTCAGGACACGGGATACCCAAAAGATTACACCTACACTACCTATTAATTCCTGCACATTTAAATTTTGAGACACAGAGCCTGTCCAGGGCCTCGTGAGGCCTACCAACGATGGAAAGGACGGCGAACGCGCATTGTCTGTACAGGTGACTCGAAACCTTTCCGAAATTCGCAAGACAGTGCTAAGTTTTGCAACTACAAGAGAATATAGCTTTCTATCGTAGGCATGAGCAATACCAGCCATAGGGGTGCTCCATGAAATAATATGGGAACAGGAATTTCAGGGCGTTCACCCAGGGAGTATCCCCATGTTGATAAGCCAAGAATTCATGTAAAACCATATGCAGTAAACAACCAGAAATCCTTCTTATGGTTGTCTATGCATTTGAGTTGCCACAGATAGGAGTTGAGAGCTCAAGTGACACAAAACTTTGTGTGCCAAGAGCCTTCCTGTGAGCTGCGCAAAATATTTGATTTTTCGCGCGCATTAAAATGAAATGTACTAATTCAGTGATCGGCGCCCTCTCTGGGTGCCTGCAATCCATTAAGACGTATGGCTGTAAGGGTCAATCTATGCTGGCACATGCACTATGCTTAGTAGCGCTTGAGTGGCTAAATCAACAAGTCAACGCAGATGCTGCGCGTTGATCAAGCCGAATGGTCAAGGATTACATTGCGCTGAATGACGAGCACATGCCATCACATCAAACAACCACAAGCCTCATGTGCCCAGAAATATGGGCGGGTGGTCTAGGTAGTACACCCCCCAGAACAAAGCGTTGATGAAGACGATAATATTCCTGGGTCCTGACTCAAGAATAAGCGCAGTGCCCGCCAACTGCTTTCGAGTAGCCATCAAATGAACATGATCTCGTCATTTATTCCTTTGACTATTTGCAACGTACACAAAGAATGCTCTTAGAATAACAAATGCCCAAATGCGCTCAACTCTTCTTCGAAAGGATACTAACTCCCGATTGCGGTGTTTTGGGGTGGGCTTTGATCTGCCTTAGCTCTCCGTTTTAGAAGTGCTTGCCGGTGAAAATCGGCGAAGATTCCCCTTGGACACCGCATGAAGCTTGTAAGAAGCTCGGATTGCTGATAGCTGTGTGCGTTTACATGACTTTCCTCGCCTGAAACCCCGTGGCAAAAACTGCATTGCTGGCTCCGTCTGGGTTCCACACTGCGGGTCCGTGCCTGCCGGTTGCAACATCCACTACGGCGCAGACGGCCGCCAAATCTGACGGCCGATCCATGAGCAAGGAGTAGGTGCGCAAGGCAGTTGAAAGCACGCAGCACCGACTCTCCTGCAACGCCTGACCCACTAAATACGCCCACAGACAGACAGTCGCACGAAGAACGTAGAAACCATGGGTTTCGTGGAGTGCCAACACTGTGAATGTGGATATCCTAAGCGTGAACATGCGATGAAGCCTAATCCCAAAGCCCACAATCCTTAGGTTGAGTACTTCATGATTGCGCTAGAGCCGACAGCTTCAATTGTTTGTTCTTCACTTGCTGCTGGTTTTTCGGTGTATCGTCCGTGTAGCTGCACTCATTTAATTTTGAGGGTTTAAAAATTGGCTTACATGGCTTGATTCTTGAGTTTACTTCTCTGAATTCCTCCGAGTGTCGGGAGCCAAGGAATAGGTCTTTGATAATACGGGTGTCGATTTGGCGGGAACCAGAGAAATAGCCAGCAAAACCCAAACCCTTGATGACCAACGCAGCCTCAGGGATCTGAAACTGCAAGAGCTTCCGCTTCACCTTCAGGGATGACTGACACAGTTTGGAGCAAGTAATGCCGCTGCAGAGTCAGAGAGCACGGAGGAAGATGCTATGCTGACACGCGAGGAGAGAGCAGGCAGGCGATCAAGGTGAAGGCAGGGCGAGCAACATAAAATTCAGGCAGAGCGAGACGAGGGGCACCAGCTCAAACAAGGGAATGGAGGGGGGCAGAGCGGTGCAGCCCGTAGAGTGTGAGTGAAGAGGGTTGCACAGTCACGGCGGCGAAGTCCAGTGTGAGACAGAAGGCCGCGTTGAGTCTGATGAGGCCATTTAAATTAGGACCGAGACACCGAAGCAGGGAACGCAAAAGAAATAATGTAGGCGACATAGGCGCACGCAAAACAGAAGGGGCAGGAGACATGGACAGAGACACGCGGCCACCCCTTGGGAACCCTGGAGACAGAAGAGAGAGGCTATGAATGCACCCAGCACGTCCCAGTTAGGAGAAGCAGGAAGCGAGAAGGGAGGCAAAAGGCCGGGAATGACCATTGAACATGCGATCCACACGAATTCACACCTAGACAGAGGCCTGACAAAAGTTTCAGCGAATCGTGCAGAGGGGCACACGAGGAGTGGGAGGGCATCTTGAGCAGAGAGTCGAAGAGCATAGCACACAGAAGACGGCGCATTGGGGCAGGAAACAGGGATCATGAGGAGCACATGGAAGGGTACCACACCCTCTCTGCCTTGCCTCCATAGTCCTACTCTCATGGTAGATAAATGCAACAATACAGCTTCCTAGATTATTTAGGAGATCAGCGTTACGGGTTTCGCGTTGTTGGCGCACGCTTTGAGCCTCTTGATTGCATCCAGGTAGATATTCGCGATTCGCTCTCCTTCGCAAGACCACACACACACAAACACTCCATGTGAGCTGCGTCATCTCCACATTAAAGGCGTAGGAAAAACAACAGCTGTAGCAACTGTGGAGGCAGCGTCGCTGCGTGAATAAACCGAAAAAGCATGTCGGCTTTCCAAGCAGTTGCCACGAAGGAAACTGCAACAGGACTGCTCCCAGCATTCAAGAACAATCAAAAGAGCGAGATGGCCGTAAACACACACCAAGGACGAAGACACGCACGCAAACACGCAGGCCTTTGAGACAACACGGGCAGTAGCATCCGCCCCAAGAGCAGCAAAGAGCCGCCACACAAACTGCAGCCTTCGCATTTGCAGCAGCATTAGGAGCACCAGCGGGAGAAGCAACAGTCTACCGATTCCGTCTTCGGTGAATTGGTAGAGCAGAGCGACACGGATAGCGATTTGACGTGGCAGCTCAAACTCGGACGCTAATGCATGCGCCTTGGACTGCACCTCCGAACTGCTCTGATCCTTCGCGAAACGTAGATGGACGGGGGTCTGTGTCGCCAGCAGCAAAAACGCAGCCGCACGACTAGCAGCATCAGCAGTAGGAGGCCCAATAACAGCAGCGAATGGGTAAAGTCTTCGTGCCACATCGGCTGTGTCAGGTTTTGAAGATATGCGGCTACTGCCTTCAAAAGCACCCCGTTCAGAAAAGCGTCGGACATATGGCGTAAAGCCTAGAACCTACCCAATTGTGACGGTGGGAGAGCTCGAGCGTCTTCTTGGATGGGGTCGACCCGGTGGCATTGTGTATTTGCTTTGACGGAGAACATTGACTTGAAGGCGCCTCCTGGCGCTGCCCCTTCTGCTGCTGATTTGTTGAATCCTGGGGCTGCTGCCCCTGCGTGTCCTCGAGATGCGCTTCACCAGGTTCATCCAGCGGGACGATTTCTGTGCGCGAACGCAAAGCCACGTCTGCAAAGCCCTCTACACCTATCCCTAGCCTCATGCCATGCCTGTGCGAGATAAGGATGTGTTCCCTCATGTGTGGAGTATTTTCCCGGCCTGTCTTCTCGGGGGCATAAAATTTCCTACCTCATACCCGGAGTCTGAAAACGTGAGAGCAGGCGTACGTTCTGTGGGTGACTCCACGCCTTTGACCTGCATCGCCTTTATGAGCTTCGTGGGGTCCGAGATAGGCCTTCGCTTGCCCTCCTTGAAAGAGAACTTCTTCCTTCCATAGCCTCTGAACCACCACCACACGGGAAAAGAGATTTGTAGATGAATGACCACTCCCCCAGAGAAGAAAGCACAGGAGCAACGATCCTAAGGTTTGGCTGTAAGAGCTTGCAACTCACTCAAAGACTTGGTCTGCTTCGGCTTTCTTCTTTCTTGCCTCGAGGGCCTGCTGGAAATCCGCCATGGCGTCGAAATCATAGACCCGATATACTGTGCTGGCGTGTAATGATTCTCATGAGGGGCCTTCGCTGCCGAAAATTACTGGTAAGGGGGTCAGAAGATCCACTGAAAGTTACGGTTCAGGGTCTGCAAGGCAGGGAACAGAGCTTGGGGGAGGAGCTTGCTGGCTGGGTGCTGACTGCCAAGCATCGATATAGCCAGAAGAGGGAGCTCTAGGGAGTGTGGCAATTCAGGCTTTACGATAATTTTTATGCCCAAAGGTCCTCACAGCCAGGAAGCCCAACGGCTCTTAGAGCTGCCGGCTATAAAAGTGTGCGTCGTCCAACGGTCCGCTGTCTAGGGAAGGACTGGTCCCCTATGTAGGGTGTCAGTTTCAGCACCCTAATTCAACAGCCAACGTGAATGCAAGATGAACCGCTCTAAATGACTTTGCATATTATGTCCAATGTGCTTTGGGGTTTTTGTCCGGGACTTCGGACATGCTCTTTAGGCACCACGCAACGCTGGGTTAAGCGCGGGGGGAGGGGAGGGGGAGGGGGCGGCAAAGGGGGCGCGGGGGTGGCGGGATGCTGAGAAGGGCGGCGCACACTGCGGGATTTATGCGAATAGGTAGCCTCAAGACGCGTCTTTATGAACTCAGGGCATTTCCCTCAGTAGATCTGCCTGCAGGAGCTAGCCGCTAGAGGATCTGGGAACCCCTGGGGTGGTCCTGCTGACTCCCCCCTCCCCCGCCTTGAGGTCTTCCGTATAGCCCCCTTCAACCTTGCACCCCCAATCCCGCAGCAGCAGTACCCTGCCGCCCCTACGGTTGCCTGCCCTTTACAGAGTTCCCAACACTGGCCGTGAGCGGAGTGGCATAAAGCGCAACTGGCACGTCAACAGGGGGATGGCAAAGGGACGTGGCCCTGCTCTGCATCTGTCGATGCACCACGCAGCGAAACACTACGCCCCAGGATGCTGTGAAGGCGCATTTTCTTTTTCTGCGTCCTCTGTGCAGCTTGGAATGGCCGATAATAAGCCACCGTCGTAAAAGAAACGGTTAACTATTCCCCCAGCACTTTGTCCACCGATAGAGCAGCGGGGGAGTTTCACTAGCCACGAAAGGCTCCAATTGACATGCGGCTTTGCAAAGGCATAATTGCAGAGGCAGGGGCCTAACGAAAAGTGCCCCGGTGCCCCTGCTAAAGAAAAACCCCACCAAGGTGCAGGGGATACGCTCTTTCAGGGTAGCATGAATAAGAGCCCCCGGATTTAAGAGAACCTATAGTTCGCTCCCTTCAGTATCCACCAACATGGCCACATTTCGCCACAAGGCCCTCGCAGTAACAAGCTTGCAACCAACATTCGGTATGCGGAAGCAGCTACGATAGCTCGCTCGCTGCGCAAAGCTCATCCCCTACAACTAGGAGTCACCCTCCTCGGAAGCGCAGAGGGGGTAAGGTGCGCGTCAAGACTCATAGAGCTGGCCCATAAACTCATCCTACTCCTCTGCCCTAATCCTCACCCCCGCCACACAAGGCAGACACGGGGCTTAAGCGTCCTCTTGTTCCTCACCCTCAGGCTCTACCTGCAGAAAAAACCACAAGGCGCTCAGTCTCTCAACCCGTGTTTTATCTCGCCAATGCCAGCCTATGGATAATGCTAAGCACGCGCATCCGCCTAAAGAGCACGGTGACTGCCGAGCACCAGGCCCCGTCAACGCACATAATAAACCCTCAGCTCGCAATCTCATTTCAGAGAAGGAGATCCTGCAGGCCAAAACACTAAAGGCAAGACCTCAAACCCTTACATCGACATCCAGCCCGAGCCAGTGCGAGAGGTAGGTGCAATCTCGGGGGTTCACTCTGCCGTCTGCGGAGCAGTCTCCCACGAGGGCACAGCCAATACAAGGCACGCCTTCAAGAAGCCGCAGATTTTCGCTCTGGTTCCACTGTGCAGACACCCCAATAAGCACACACAGCACCGCTACGGCAAGTGCCGCTGAGGCGCACATGCAACAACGGCTTACGGCCACTCCCTCCCCGCTCATTGAGACCCTCCACCCCAACACCGCCAAATGAATACCACATAATAATCACAGCAGCACCGTACGACATATGTGACTTCAGATCCCGTGCGTATCCTAGCGACTTTGTCTTCGCACTCAAGGGTTGCGACCAACTGCGAGATATCTTCATCCGTGAAGGCTCCGCCTCCAATTTCACCTGCAGCGAGCGGCCAACCACCCCGCACGAGCAACTTCCAGACAGCTTGATTATGTGAAAAGAGCGCACAGAAGAAAAAGGTCTGCGGCGAGTGTGTGACGGGCAGCAGACCTTCACGCGAATCTGTTTCCTTGGAGAAGGGGGGGGCTCACCGCTGCTGCGCACAAAGGCCACGAGGGCTGCAAATGTGGATGAACGCGCGTTACGAAGAAAAACAGAAAGACGCTCCCGCAGTTGCTGCAAAACGCAAGACTGGAGGCCTTTGGACCAATATGCTGCAAGCGCCGACCAGAGACAGCATGCCTTCCAGAAAGCGATGCATTACAAAATTTGCCCTAAACCCAAATGCCAACATCCTTACCTCTACAAGCTGTTCGTTGAATTCTCCATTCGTATAAAAGGAGCCCCCAGCGATCTGCAAGCGCGGCAAGACAATAAAGCATGCGACATTATACGAAAATTTTGTAAGGCGCGCGCAACGAGAGTCCTAGAGTCTAGACGGCCATCAAGAAGGAGCTACCTGCGTGCAGTTTTCGTTACTGTGTTATTGAGTTTTTGCGCAATCGAGAGGGCCACACACTTTTCGTGCGGTCTCCTTGTACGGAACGGCAGACCCAATAACCCCCGCGTACCTCTTTAGAGGGCTCCATGTGTGCAAGAATATACATTTTCCTGTTTTTTACTTGGATACTTTTTACAGGTTTGATAAGCTGCAGATTGTCGCAGAGGTTTCGCACACCCCTCTGGATGATATGCGTCTGCAGTCCCGTGCTCTTCCTGATATCGGCTGTCCATACTCCTGAAGTGAGCCACAGACGGCGCGCACGAAGCATGCCACCTGGCCTGAAGACGCTGCATTCAAGTGAGGACTATTTACTTTGTGCGGTGTGAGGGCGCCCTCTAGGCAGTGCATACATGCCTACAAGAGACGCATGGCTGTGAGCCAGGCTTCGGGTGCGAGGCTCTCAGGTGCAGACAGACCCGTATTCCCAGCAAGCTCCACAGCACAGTAAATCTTGTAGTCGAAGGCGTCCAGCTGCTTGAGCGTTGGAATCACGCTGGCTGGCCGGACCACGCAGCAGACGTCTGCAACACGCACGCGCGGGTTTTTAAAGGGTTGCACAAAGGGGGAGACGGGGGGGGGGGGGGGGAGGGGGTCCCCCGGTGTTTTGTATTTCAGGATGGGATGGCCACCCGTCAATATCCCAGTCCAAAGAGGATGCCGTTTCCCGGTCACTCTGTCAACAAAAAAATGCACAGTCGTCCTCACTACATCTCAACAACGCGTCCTTCGCACCCTCGCCACCTCGCCCTTCGTCCCTCGCACCGTCCCCCGGGGGGTCGGGGACGGGGCGGCCGGCGGGGG